CGGGGGGGCGTCCCTCGCAGCCGGGACGTGGCCAGGCTGGGAGCCGGGGCCTTTCCTGAGGGCCCCGGGCACGGTATTCCCGCCGGGAGCGCCCCTCCGGCCGGCGGGGAGGGCACGGGGCCTCACAGCTGACCAAAACCTTCCTCGCCCCGGTACCGGTCGGTTATGTCTTGTCCCGTCATGGACGGAGACTAACTGATGAGCGTTCACTTTATTCAGTCATCTTGCAGATTTCAAGACGCGTGTCTCCTTAAATAAACCCAGTTCGTTTTAATTTTTTTCTCATGGGTCTTTGGTTTGGTTTTTTTTTTTTAAAACAGCTTTTCTAATTTTTATTACCTGTTTTTGGGGTTCCCTCCCGTTCGTCTATAGCAGTCTGAAAGCGTGGATTTATTCCAGCTTCCCGGCTTGGTTACTGCACAAACGCAGGAAGGGTCTCCTCAGTTTTTTGCATTTTTTAATAGCTTTTTTTTTTAATGGTGCACCGATACGCAGTTTGTAGCCCCGTGTAATTTCTCTGGTATTAACGCCCAACCAGCTTCTGCTCATTTTTGGATGTATTTTTCTTTTTTTGCCTAGGTGTGGCTCTGGGCCTTGTCCTTACTGAATTTTACCTTACTGATTCTAAAGCATTTTCCAAGTCCTCAGAATCATTTTGACTGCCCAAAGTATGCCAAATTATTTAGTACCGCCAGACGAGGACAGTCCCCTTTCGTACCTCAGTTAATGCAATCCCTGCCAACTCCTCTCTTGAATATGCTTTTTTCGAATGCCTGCTAGTCGGTTTTGTAGAAATTTCTTTTGTACTGTCAGTCGTTAACTTGCTAATGAGAATATTAGTGCTGTGGACTATGGCCGAACATCTACCATTGGCACTCCTGCAGCTTTGCTCTTATCCTCTATACCAATTTTCCTGCCAAGTAAGAAAATTATAGTAGCTCAGTCTGCCTACCCTTGACAAATCCATTTTTTCCCCTATAACTATTATCCTCTACCTGCTTATAGATCATTTAGTCATTCATTCCCAGCATTTTTCCACATGTAAAAATTATGAACCGTGACCATACTGATACTCCTGAAGCGTAGCGAAACGGACCTAACAAGGACTGGGTTTTTAATCAAGTTTTTAATCAGAGATATTCCCCTCTATTCACAGTATAAGAGAAACATCTATGTTTCTCTCCCTTACTTTGTCATTTCCTGTTGGGCTCATTTTAGAACCAATATCATGCTGCTTTATCTTGTAATAAAAAGAGGGTTCTAGTGGCCTGGGAAGGGCTTGGCCACGAGTGAGCGCGCTCACGCTGGGCATCTTGGTGCTTTCAGAGGTTTGGTATAGTTTCGCAGATAATGGACGTTTTCAGGTACCCGAAAAATCTAGTACGTTAACATTTTGTGTTTGTTTGGATTTAAATTTCCTCTGTGCTACTAGTCTATATTTCCATCATTTATACTGGAAGAAGTAAAAAAGACAAGGAATAATTAAGTAGTATGAATGTTAGTTTAAAAATCTTGAACTTGGTTGCTTTTTTTTTTTTTTAAGAGTTTGAAGTCTGTATTAGCGCTGACCTTGTAAAAAAACACAGAATTCATGGCTGGTCTTGCTCAGACCTCTGCTGCAATCACTGAAGGCTTCACGCAAACTCACGGGTTGTCCATAGAGTTTCTGTTCAGAACTCTGTCCATAAAACTTCCATATCCAGCACTGTAAGGCACTACATTTTTTTTTTTTAATCTTTGCAATTTCATAGTGATTTAATTACCCATTTGAATTGTTGTAAGTAAGAGTGTAGCTGAAATCAGTGCGACCCCACTTACACGTATCTTAAGTCTTAAAAATTCTACAGTTTGGGGTTTTGAGGGGGATGGAAGGTGGATGTTTGCTTTAGAAAAGGGGGCCAGAGTTGTTCTGCGTTTCGGCTTTATATTGCTCCCATAGCATCAAAACACCAGCCAGGTACCCTGGCTGCTGAACTGGGATCAGCCTAACCATTGCAAATTTCCCCAGAGTGCGCTCCTAGAGCATACTAGACTAGAAATGGTGTAGTTTCGTTAGATGTCTGGCTGGAGACAGAAATGATTCTTTTGAGTTTTTATAATTGTGAAATTTTTACTAGCTCTTCGCTCTTCCGTAACTTAGCTTAGGACAAATCAACAGTGATCAAAATCAACTTTTTAAAGCAAATACGGTGAATTACAGGAACTGCCTGTAATCTTTGCAAATGCTTTGCAGGTAGCCTTGGAGTTATTAAGGGCTTAATTAATTGCAACGCGAATTCTCAGCGATGATGAGAATTTCCTAGACAGAGCAGTCGTGCGATTCTGGAGCCTGTAAGCACAAGCAACAGAGCAGGAGATGCTGTGCGTTATACAGCTGCCTGTACATTAAATAATAGTTTGGTACTTTAAAATTGCCACGTACCCGTATGTGGCTAATAAATCATCCCGACTGTAAAATCGCAGCAGCCATGACTCGCACGCAAGGCTGTTCGTAGGAACTAAATATCTAGGTCAGAGTTGTCACAGATAATAGAGTCCCCCTGGAAGAGTTTAGGAAAGGGGGATGCTCCGGACACCCTGCAAGCGTGTTTGTTATAATGTCCTTTGGCAGTAGGTCCCTGGGCTTGATTTAAGGCTAGCACACAGAAAGTCACTCTGCATCCAAATTTAAAACCGACAAAGGGCACGAGACACTTTGTGCTTGCGGAGCTGCCCGGTCTGCGAGGTTGGCAGCATGAGAGATCGCCCCGGTTAGAGCGCTCCACCACCAGACCCGCGTCTGGTCCGAGGCTCCAGCAAGATGACAGCCCTGGTAGAGGAGAAGGAGCTGCAGGAGAGACTGAGAGAGGCGGCGGCGCTGGGGGACGCGGAGGAAGTTCAGCGGCTGGTGGAACACCCCCCAGAATGCCATCACCGGCTGGTAAGGCTGCCGAGCGGGAGCCGGAGCGGGTCGTCTCCAGGACGAGTGGAACCGAGGGCTCCTGAGGCTGTAGAGATGAGTTTGTTTACCCTTTTTGTTTTGTTTTTGACTAGGCATACGCTACTGCGGATTTTTTTCTCTTTCAGCTGAAATACACGCATCATGACCGGTGTGAATTTGGGATGAAATTAAAAATGTGCTTCTTCAACGCCTTGCCAAATGCTCTTCCCTATAGCTACCTCTCACTACGCCAAAAAGGAAAAAAAATACTGCTGGAGCTGATAATTGCTTTATAAATTTGCACTCTCGTCCCACCCGCTATTTTTGTTCCTTTGGTGTTTGATCCTTCTTCAGGTCGTTGTTACTTTATATTGTTTATTTTTTTGGAAAGGGAATGCTGGCAGCCTAAGACAGCACCGTAACATAGCTATCAAAAAATAAACCTCAGCTTGCCAAGATATATTAATTTATAACCGGACTTAATTCGTGCTAACTTCCAAATCAGGCTCTAAAGTGACTGCACTTTCATCAGCAAACTTGCAGGCTGTTTCGGTGATGTCCCTAAAATACTTTTAGTTCTGACATCTCATTCAAATACCACCTAGTGACACTAAAACGAAGTCCTTTTGGTAATAATACGCGTTTGTGCAGGCGGGACTATATACGTGAATGAACACGCACACGGTACCATTTGAAGCGGGAGCTGCAGGGAACGCTCAGGCGTTTTTGAAGGCTGTTTTCCTCAAGTTGAATTCAGTGTGTATTTACCATGCTGTACTGCGCTTGAGGTTTTAATTAAAAATAGGAAGAACAAAATTAGGAAAGAAGCTGCTATTCTAAAGATTAGAGCGCCAGTAGTAGTCGTCAGCAGCATGGAACGCTTGCAACTTGCGGTTCAAATTGTGATTAAAATCAGAGCTTGTAATAACTTCTGCAAAGTGATTCCTAAGAGCATAAATTATATTCATGTGCAAGAGAAGTAGTTGCTGGCCATCCAAATGAGTTTCTATCTAAAACTGGCATTGATGGAAGAAACAATAAATTAAAAAAAAAAAAAGAATTATTTTCAGAAATAACGATCTGGTCATTTTTGACTATGACAGTAAATGGATCTTCACTGTTATTTAGGTTTGCTTGTAGAATTTAAATCGCTGGAATGACCTTTTCCATGAGTCTGATGCTCGGGGGTGCTGGATACGTGCGTTTTGGTGTGTGTTGGATCTGGGGGGGTAGCTGGTACCTCTCCGCATGAGACCTTGCTAAAGCCACGTGCGATGGTCAGAACGAATTCCAAAATGAGGCAGCGCCGCTGAGGCTCGCGTATCTTCTGAGCAAACTAAACCCTCGAGTTTTACACGCGTGCAGGGTCCCGCTGAAGTCTCTGGCGTTCAGTATAGAGGAAATAGTGTGTAATTCTCAATGGAGCATCCTCGTTTAAGCAGGGAAAGCAAACATCCCCGCGCTGCCTGCGTGTTCTCTCGCTGCTTTGGTCTAAACTAGCTACGACTTGGCAGTGCGCTGCTTCTGAATCCATGCAAACTATTCACACGCGAAACAAGGAGAGATTTGTGAAAAGTCCAAAAAGCATGACACAGCAAAACTAAACAAACTCGGTCCGAGTTTCAGGAAGCTTGTCTCAGATACTGAGGGATCTTTGGTGTCAAAAATTCAGGACTACGTTCTGCTGACAAAATTATGTTATGCCATTTTAAAAATGGCACTTTTTGGCTGAAATGCACAGCCCAATCGTGGAGCGAAAATACAGGATTTTACAGTATTATTAGCTGTATCCCCCCTTTAAAACATAAAATTTATAACCCATGTCCTATGATAGGCTATAGAGAAAAAATATATATGCATACATACACTTACCATGTTTCTTCAGTCAGATCTAATTCTAGGCAATGTTGCTTGCTGCAGTGACTAGTCCCATTACCTTTAATTCAGAGAGACTTTCTGCCATCGAGACGCATTAATTCTAGTAATAAGAAATGTAGAATGATGCCTTTTGCTTCTGCTAAGATGGGTTTAATTAAGTTGGAACATATACCAATGAACAGGGCTTTACAAATTACTTTGTCTTCTCTTGGTTTAACCTAATTTGTACCCCTACAGATCAGATTCTTTCTTTTCTCCTTTACGCCCATACAAAGTTGGGAGTTACTGATCAAGAGACAGCTTTGTTGTGTGACGACTGCGTCTCTTCCTTACCCCCCCCAAAAAAAAGCTTTTGAAGCTGGACTTTCAATTGAAACTTTTTTATCCTTATAAGTTTGTTTTCTAATCTCTGTTTTATTTTATTTAGTCCTTTAAAAAACTGAAGAAAGATAAAAGAGTTTTAATTTATCCAAAGACTTTTCCTTGGCTGGAGCTAGAGTATTAAAGTAAGAGCTAGAGAAAGCTCAAACACCGCTAGACCCCCAGATAGGGAGGAACGGTAAGGCTGTACAACAAGTTTTAATATAGAAGACTATTAAGTCCTTAATACTAATACTAAGCACTAAATAAGCTAAGTAGCGTTGAGGATGTTTCTTTACTATGTCTTTCCAGGTCAGTGACTGCCAATAATAATTAAAAAAACCAGAAAAGCGATCAGTTCAGTGCATCAGTTACAGGTTGCCAACCACAAGCTCACTGCAGAGCGCTAGTTGTCTGCAGCATAAAGCTTGGAGTCTGCTGGTGCGGTGAATAGCAACTAGGCAAAGAACTAGAATATTTTCCAAGTAATTTACTTTCAGAAAGGTGCACATCGCCGTACTGACTGCATTGATTAAAGTGGAAAAAAAAAAGCACCCTCGAGAAGCTGCATGTTAGCTCACATACACACAAAAGTATTTGAAGAATAACTTATTCTTTCAAAGATTAAACAAATAAATAAGCCTTCTTTTTATATTTATTTTCAATAAAAGTTAATAGCCTCATACATGAAAACCTAAAAAGATCTTGAAAACTATTGCTATAGTAACTTGGTATCAAGAGCATTATCGCGAGGGAAAAAAACCAGATCAGCAGGTGTCACTGCAGGCTCCAGAAACGGTGTGAATCTGCAAGGACCGTAGCTATTAAAAGCTTTTTTTATGCTAGACATGCATTGGGTCTTGTGCTTCCTTTTTTCAGGAATGCATGAAACGTATGTGCTGTTATCTAGTATTTCAAAGAGCGTTGCCGTTTTCCGTGTGCAGGACTTGTTTGCACTGGGCGTGTAAAAGGAACCACGCGCAAGTGGTGTCCTACCTGCTGCGATCCGGGGCCGACAAGGAGATTCGCACAAGGAAAGGAGAACGGCCCGTCCAGTTGACTTCCAGGAGGGAGATTCGGAAGATGCTGGGAGGTAAAGCTACTGGTTATATCATATACCATCTCTGAAGACGACAGTAAAAGGCTGTTGAGAGCAATTACGCTCCTGGGTTATTTTACGTGTGACGATACTGTGAACGTTTTTGTGAGTGAGCGTTTACTTAGCGAGAAATCACAATTTAGAGAAAGAGGGCTACCAAAAAACTCCATACGCAGGTAACCCAGCTTTTTTCTAAACACGGGGGAAAAAAAAACCTGAAAAAAATTGTATTTTGAAAAACCGTATTAGTAAATCGATTGCAGGTAGATGCAGCTTGATGTTTTCAGAAGAAGCAAATAGAGGAAAAATCTCTCAAAGTTGTCTGAAGCCCTTGCAGTAGATGACCAATACCTAACGTTCCTGGTGTTTTATGGAGTTTAGATGCTGTGTTGAGTAAATGGAAAATTAGCATCCTAGAGAAGCAGCTCAATAAAGTACCTTGCTAGAGCATTTTTATCATGTGTTGTAACCGTTGGAGCGGAGTAGGCGTTGCTGCTGGAGGTGAGTAGTTTGAAATATGGTCAGTTAACAGCCTCTTTCCTTCCTTCTGTATTCCCTTGCCTGTCTTCGTGGCCATTATTGTCTCCCTGCTGTTGAATTGGTGATGTTTCAGTTCTCCTTGTACTGTGTTTTTTTCCCTTTATCCCTGGCCTTAATATCGACAAACATGTTATCATTTGTTTTTCATTGCTTTATACGTTATGAAGATGATAGCATTACACCGCCAGAGACCGTGGCACAAAACGCTGGCTACAGATTTAAGAAAACTGGCATTACAGTGTTTAGCGACATCCCCCGAATTATTTGAGTTAGACTCTGCTTCTGCTTACTGTCTTGCAACACCCGAGCACAGCTGTTCACTGCAGACAAAAGGTGTAGAGCTTCTTGAGTCATCTTTTACCCTGTGATGCTTTTAACATCCCCAACCCCCCGCCCAAAAAAAGAACATAAAAGAAGCCCCACAATGTAATAGCCATATTTTTTTCCCCCTGAAACCGGTCTTGGAGAATATTGTGGGTTTTTTTGTTTTGTTCTGTTTTGCAGTGGAAGATGATGAACTCCCAGACTTAAAGAAAGATTCAGATTTGCCAATCATCCCTAATTACCTGGCTAACCCACCTTTCCCGTACGTTTATAACACCATGAGTAACAGTATTCCCGACGCCTCAGTGAACGGAAGCGTCTCGCGCGTCGAGTCGCAAGATGCCGACTCGGCTTCCTGCCCTCGCGGGGAAAGGGGCGCGCGTGCATCGTTCCCGCGGGAAAACGCTGCCTCGGAGGTGGCTGATCACGGAGACAGGCCGTCGCTGCCCGGCGCCTGCACCCTACCGCGATGCCCAAAACCCGTCGGTCAGAACGGTCCGGTTTACCAGACGTCCGTGTCTTGGAGCAGAAGTTCCCCTTCTCCGGTCGGATCGAAACCGGCTGTACCTCAGCAGCAGAACGGCTCCTGTGCGGGGCCCGTGCCAACGTTTCAGCCGGTCTTCTTCACAGGAGCTTTTCCGCTTAATATGCAAGGTAACGGTAAAACTCACCTATTCTAAAAACTCCTGTCGTCTTGGACAGCGAAAATAGACTAATCAGTGTTATGTATGTTAATCATACTTCTAGAGACTTTCAGGTTCTCATGTATTAGGCATTCAGGAAACATTTGAAAGCAATTAAAGAGAGACAGATATCCTGTTTCTGCTGGACCTGTTATTAAAATATTGATGAAAACATTTTTCTATTTGTCTCAAATGCTGTAAAACCAGACAGACACCAGGGTGATAAAATCCTCTAAACAGCGTACTCCAGCTTTCAAATGCGGAACGTGAGTAAGTCAGCAGTGGGCTCAAGGGACAATCGCAGAGGGCTCGCTCTGCAGAAAGACCTGAATGCCGAGGCAAATTATTATTATTATGATCTGCCATTTCTTCTGGTAAATATTCTGCCTGCTCAAATAGGGAAAAATGGAATTTCCGTTTTAGTTCAGGATTTTATCCTTGACATAAAAGCTGTTCTGACGCCATTATTTAGCACAGAGAGGTTAAGAGACTCCATTTGAATTGTATTGGGTGATCACCCAAACTACAAAAAAACCCAGTAAAAGTAATAGTGGATTGCTAAGGACATGGATAACAAATGTGATCTGCTTCAAGGTTGGTTTAAATCCAGTAAGATGAGTACTCTTCCAAAGATTCATACGTACATACACACATATTGAATTAGATTAGCGAGGATTTTTTTTCCATGTAGGTTGATAAAAGTCAATCTAATGAAAAACTCAGTCATGAGAGTCCAGGTTGCATTGCTTTCTGAGGATTCTTGTTACAAAAGATACAAACAGCATTAATAGGAAGTAGAAATACTTTGAAATTAGTTTAAAGATATCTTTTCCAATTCTTTAGTATATTTGCATATTAATGTACAATTTTTTTTTTATTTCTAATAGAACTGGTGCTTAAAGTTAGAATACAGAACCCTAGCCTTAGAGAAAATGACTTCATTGAGATTGAACTGGACAGACAAGAACTGACCTATAAGGAACTGCTGCGAGTGAGTTGCTGTGAGCTGGGCGTTAACCCCGAACACGTAGAGAAGATCAGGAAATTGCCAAATACAGTGCTAAGAAAGGTAAGAACTCATCATTTTTAAGTCCAGTAACTTGTAAAGAAGAATTGTAGCTTACCATTCAAAAGGAATAATTTGGTGGTCACCTGCAATGTTCTCGTGTCACAAAAAAGTGACAATATTAGTTTTCTAATAGTGCTCACTGTCTTAGAGAAGCACTGAAGAGGAGGAGCCAGGCAGGTAGTCGTGCCCACTAGCAAGTTTTTCATTTTGAGGTTGAGCTATGCGTGACCCATGCAGTCAGTAATGTATTGTTTTTATAGTGTTTCAGATTCCTTCAGCAGAGGTAATGTTCTGGCCACACTTCTCTAACACTCAACTGCAATGTTTACAGAAATCGTGTGTTAACCAGTCATTGATTTTTTTTTTTTAATCATTATTCATATTCTAACTGTTCCATGATTAGTCACTGGGAACTGGGCAGCTGAACAGTCCCTAAGGAACTCCTTCAGCTTCTAACACTTAGTAGGTTTTTTCTTCCATATAAAAAAGTTCTGAAGTTTCTTGATCATTTCCTTTCGTAAGCGTTTGGCATTGAGGCCAATTTATATCTGCTTCTGTATTACATTCTGCAATTCAATGCAGTACCATACCATTGTGACCTGTCATCAATGTTTAATAGGCTTACAGTACTCAAGCGAGCGATACTAGTTTAGTAAGGACTATATGCAGTTCTTTTAAAAGCAGCTTGACTATGGGAAACAGTTTCAAAAATATTCTCAGTGAAGGTCTGCGAAGGTAACTGTCTTTTCACTTCACTGACATCTACCTGTGCAGCATACAGAAACCTGGGACCTGCTGACCTGTTTTACTGATTCACCATTGACCTCTCTTTCACTCTCAAATCCCTCTAGAGCATTGTTGGCGTCAAACGGTAGCGCTAATCTGATTAGTGCTAGATTAATAGACTTCTGTGTACTGCATCTTCACTGAATATATGAAGCCTTATTCTTTGTTAATCAAGAAGCGGGGGAAAAAAAGCATTTTTGTAACTTGCCAACTTACCTTGCAGTTGTTCAAAGCATTCTTTTTATCTCCAGCTCTTATTTCAGATTCTCTTGGTAGGACTCCATGACACTTTATTGTTCCCTGAGATGATATAAAATTTATTCTACTTAATGCTGCCTAGCAGCAAAGCCCCTACTGTGGGAAGGTTTCTTCCATTGCTCTCTAAAGACCCTGCCTAAGCCAGCTCAAGGCTGGTGTTGCTGGGCTGCTCCAGAGGAAGCTGTATGCAGGACCTTCTTGAGTAGATGCCAAGAATCAATTCACGCGCTTTTAAAAATTACCAACAGAGGGGAAAAAAAAGGGGGGGAGAGGATCCTCAGAAGAGTATACTCATGGATTTTCTAAATAGCATGCAGCAGATCTTTACAAACGTAACTCCACTAATCGCTTGCACTCGCTGTCAAGCACTGCATTCCTTCTAAAAATAGACTTAAGTGAGTAGCTGAATAGGATCCCAGAATAAATATAACGTAACAACAGGATGTCTGCTTTCCATTTTACTGTAAAGAATTGTCCTATTTATGCAGAAATACCTTATGTTAGTGTCAGCCTATTACTTCAATTTACCTCTGCAAAATTGAACATATGTTTCATCACCTAACGACTTACTGTATTTATTTAAAGGACAAAGATGTTGCAAGGCTACAGGATTTCCAAGAACTGGAGCTTGTTCTAACAGTAAGCGACAGAAACTTACTTTTCAGAGTACCAACGCTTTCTGAACGGAGTGGTTATAACAAGAAAGCATCAGAACTGACGTACTAATTGTTTAAAGAAGAATAAAAAAAAATTTGTATCTCATTTTAAAATTACATGTTTGAAGTATATTATCTATAAGGGCTAATGACGCGGGAAAAAAAATCTATTTTGTTAACCTTGAAATAAACTAAAGATGTTAGGCACAGTTACAGCCTGTATTTAGTCTAAGAGTAACTAGTCTGATATGAAAGTAGCTTATGCAAAAAGTACTGGTAGAACTATCTATTAATGCAGCACTCTTTTCCTTACAAGAAGTTAGTCTTGAAATATTGTGGAGTTACAGACGCTCTCAGGGAAAGGCTTATCTTTAACTGTTCTAATAATTTGTTTGCTACAAAATAGCAGAGGCACTCATGCTAAAGAACCTGCCATGAAACCCATTTAATATTTATATCGAGTCCGTTACCATTGACATATTCACCTTTCAGATCATGTATTTTACATCATCTCTGATTTAGAAGGAAAAAAAACAGAAGGGTTTCAATCTGTGGAAGAAGCACAAAACTGTCTAGTTTAAATACTCCTAAGTGACTTATTGCCTGTGATTTCTTAATCCCTATTTACACATTTCCCTACTTCTCAGGTTGAAAACAAAAAAATTACATTAATTATCCAAATCATAAGTATGCTCTCAACCAAAATCATAGATCCCTTTTATTGTTGTCTGTCAATATACAGTATTGACATGTGCAATTTAAAATACTATTTTTATTTGTTACTGTATTGAAAACATATTTCTCCAATGCTGCTTTAATTTTCCCCCTTTAAAGCACAAATACTGTAAAATTGTTGTCCTTTTACTCCCTACATTCCTGAGAAAGATCCAGTCTTGAAACTTTCAAGTTTCCTATGTAAAAGGAATCTAGGGTTTTCTGGGCTGATATTAAAATCTTGACATTTCTATGCAGTGTATTTCCTTCCCCCCCCCCCACCCCACCCTGTGACTTGTTGCTTACTGAAAAGTCACTTTTCCTGTTACTTAAAATTCAGAATTAAACTACTTCACTATGAAATCCTGGAATAAATAAAGTAAAAGGTATTTAAGACAACAGCGAGCTGGATTTTATCTAACATTTCAGGACGTCAGTATTTACACAGTCGTCTGCGTTTGAGAAGCGCTGTACAAGTACGTACTATGCATCAGATGACGTACAGTACTAGATGTAACAGACAGACGGAACATAATCAACCTGGACTGAGTTTCCCTCTGTTTCTGTATCTTCCCCCTTCCTCCCCTCTAGTTTCTTCGGAAACTACAGTAACCAAAGGACTTTTATCTTCTAATGGTATTTACAGCCCAGGTTAGCTGTACGTTGTACGTGGACTTGCAAACGGGATTTGCAGCACGCTGAGCAGGGAGGAAGCGCTGAGGAGAGAACTGCATCTTAAACTCTCATCCCTCTTCTCAGCAGAAAATGATGACCGTCTCTGACTGGTTTTGGGTGTCCACCACAGTCTTTTCTCCTTTCCCGGAGACCACTCCAGGAGAAAGAAGTCCCTCTCCCCCTGCAGTCAGGGCTGTCACCTGTATTATAGCTAACCTAAGAGGAACTGGTACCCAAGTTTACCCATCCTCTCGCTTTCTCATCCAGTGAATAACGCAATATGCAAAGGGAAGCAGCTTCAGCCGGAGTGTCTGAGGACACAAGAGGGAGCCCTCTCCCAAACCGCCTTAGTCTGGCACGCCAGCGGGCACCTGGAAGCACAGATCCACGCAAACATCCAGGTTTCTTATGTGTCAGTTAACTAGACTGAATTGCTATCTCCCAACGATAACATTAGTAAAACCTTTTGTCACAACCAAATATCCTTCGCTGAAGTGTTAGAGGGCAAATGCAGTCTGAGGCAGCAGCATTATCTATTTCTTATACCAAACCGGTGGTGGTCTATTAACTTCTGGATAATGGAATAAGAAGATTTCCATTGCATTGTTCCTGGTATACAGAACGGACACGGTTTAGGCTTCATCTGGCTAAATGCCAGCTTAATCCATGCAAACTGCTATGGATTAACCAGTCAGACCTACCAGAGAAAAGCTCAGCTGTTGGGTTGATTGACTTCATTGTTAACTGACTGTTGTGCACAGATGCTGATAGCTACCTATGCATTCACACAAATATTTTTATATATTATGCAGTTTATAAACAGAAGATACTATTAACCTTGCTAACTTGAATTAATCTGATAAGTGTATAATCACTACATTACTGTGTATGATCAATAATTCATTACTTTGTGCGTTGCTATCTGAAACGTTAGTGTCAAATGAATGCTTGGCTGCAGATTCTTGTTTCTATTTAAGAAGTGTCATTTGTAAAAATTAATAAATGATTATTTTTGTCTTCTCAAAGTTTTTCAGAACTTTGCTTACAGAAAAACATAGAAACATTTTCTTGCCAGGTAGCTTTCCAAAGGGGCTGGTGTAGGAAGTGAATGACTAAAGCAAAGGACATCCTATCAGATTCTAGCAGAAAAAACTGCTAAACACAGTACTCCCTTTATCTGAGGGGGCTTGGTTAACAATAATGGCAAGGTAGATATTTATTTCTCTAAAACAAATCGCACATGATTTCAGGTGGTTAAGCGTTGAATGAGATGATAATAGCGTCGTCCGCTCAGCGTGCATGTTCGGCTCAAGTAGCAACTTGTTCAAGGTGACTTCATACAGAAGAGAGGTAGAGCAAAAGGGTAACATTTTTGCGTCAGCTGCGTCCGTACAGTCTTACGTGGAGTCTACTAAGTTGGCAGCAATTGCCTAGTTAATGATTTAGATTAGGCTATACCCCTAGGTTTAGTTTTAAATAAAAGTTATGCACAAATCCTATCTGAAGAGGAATTTTATGAACCTGAATTTGCTCTAAGGCTGGGATACCAAAGGTGCTGGGATAGCTCCCAGCCTAGAACTGTAGCCTTCAACTCTCTTGCCCTGGGGGGAAATACTGCAAGGAACAGGTTGGAAACAGTCAGAGATGACACCTTATTTCTGTACTTCTCAGCTGAGTTGCTCCTTAACCATGCCTGTCTTCCCACTTCAAAACTAAGGAATCCTTATACAGAAGACACGCAAAACAGGTGTATTTTGTATCATTGCTATAATTTACTAATTATAAACCAGAATACAGTACAGAGTGCTTGTGATACATACGTGTTCTCAGCAGAATGTTTGGCATTCTTCGGGAAAAAAACGCTTAATAAAATACTTTATGTATATAGAAAATATTTCAAAAATATAAAATTCACTTTCTGGTCCGTATGGTTGTAAATACTTTGTTCACATATCAAAAGTTTAGTCTACTACAAAGACTGTTCTGTAAATTACAGTACATTCACCAGTCACTTCTGTGTCGAGTCAGTAAAATAAAAAAACCAAGGGGTCGCCTTTTCATGCTAGTCCGGCATCTTTGGCCATACTGTAGAAAATACCCTTTGACGCTATAAGGCTCGCAGGCGTATCAAATTCAGCTATGGTTCCTTTGTCTAGAACAAGAACCCTGTGCAAAACAAAAGGTAGTGGCGGGAAGAAAGAGATGTCAGAACTCCTTGCAGGAAACGTGATGTCCTTTTCCAATCACAAAGCAAGTACTGTTCCTAAACTATCCCTTGCCTTTGTTTTGCTCAATTATTTTCACCTGCTGAAGCACAAGAGAAGAGAGACGCTATCCCTGAAGCGCTGTTTGATTTACAAAGGTGCAGAACACTCTCAAACTCCCAGAAAAGAAAAGTTCAATTGGTGAGACTGCTAGCTCTGGAATTGACAACACAACACTACAAAGCCAAGGAGAAAAGAGCTTGCAAAGTATACTAATGTGTTTTAAAACAATTAACATGACACAATGTTAGTGACCAGGTTATAGCAGCTACTGGTTAAAAATAGCTCCGTAAGCTTGGCGACAGTGATATTAATGCCAATGGGTAGCATCTCCTGTGCAGCCCTGGTTAATGAACATAGAACCTTTTTCTTAAGGCAACAAAAGCAAAATCAGGTCTGGATATTCTAGGATTATACAGCCTTAACATCACTGCTTACATGCCGCTGACATGTGCCACTTCACGTGCCCAGCACACCAGTGAGCCCATACACACGCACCATTGAGCGGTTTTTACCTGGTGTAATCCATAATTGTGTTCAGCCTGTGCGCTATCGTCAGCACCGTGCAGTCTTCAAACTGAGTCCTAATTGTCATCTGGATAAGATCATCCGTTTCCAGATCGATAGCTGCTGTCGCTTCATCCAGGACCAAGACTCTCGTCTTGCGAAGCAGCGCTCTTGCCAGGCAGACGAGTTGCCTTTGGCCAACGCTGCAAGCAGAGACAGGGCTTTCACAAGCAGAGGCCCCACGGCCCTTTAGCTCTCCCCTGCTCAGAACCACTCGTGCTAGAGCAGATCACTGATCAGATAAAGTTACTGAACCAAAAATGGTATTTAGCAAACAGCCCAGTCTGTCAGCCCTAGAGCTAATACAATAAGCACTGCAGCACTACTCAGTGAGCTTTAGCGTATGCGTTCGCTTACTGCCTGATCCAGTACTGACAGAGCCACCAAACGCACCCTGCCCGTCACGGTGATGGGAACCAGGGAAGCTTATGATTACAGAGCTTCTGCCCAAGTTTTCAAAGCACACTCAACACCGAGCATTTGCTCCCAGGTTTGCTTTTGTTTATCATGTCAGTTCACAAGGGTTGGCAGGTCAAGGGAAAACAAAAAGTTGTCATATATGCTTTTAAAAAAAAAAAAAAGTTGAAGCTTTAAAAAAAAAAAAAAGTTGAAGCTTTAAAAAAAAAAAAAAAGTTGAAGCTTTAAGTCCTTCTGACTGTTAAAAAAATAACTGAGCAGCCCGTGCTCCCCCTTCTGCCTCCAGCACCTCGGACACAAGCTTTATCTGAGCGTCTCTGCAGGATGAGGAAGGAGCTCAACATTTGTCACACGTGCGGTCTGGTTACACCGCGCTCTCAGAAGCCGACAGAGCATACTGAAGCATGACATTTTATCCTCGGGTTCATGTCTTCCTGGGTCTTCTATACCCAGTGCAGGCAAATAACCATTGCTGAAGTCCCAGTTTAGGTAGAGGATGCTTATTCAGCACTGCATTTTCATATGTTACCTGCATTTTCATATGTTACCACGGTGTTTCTCTTCCTACCAAACCATGTTTAAAGGACCGCCTATTCCTAACACCCTGTCATCCTGAAACTTGTTTCTTTACTGATACGATAGGATTTTGGTTTGGGAGAAATCCTTCCCAGCAGCAAAGAAGAATCAGACCATCCTTGGCAGAGGCAGGAGTGCAGGCAAACGTTCAAGCATCAGAGGTGTCCTTGAACTAGGAGTAGGTGGCTAAACCCTTTCAGGCACAACAGACTGCAGTGTACGCCTGTATTCAAGCGTGGCTCGCTCTTAGGGCTGAAGGAAAGCTCAGTGTGTATTTCTAATCCAAACACTCCTTACCTCAGATTTTCTCCTCCTTCTGAACATTCATAGTCCAACATGGAGGGCTGACTGCTGACAAACCGCTTCAGGTGAGACAGTTCAAGAGCTTTCCATATTTCTTCATCTGAATACTTATTGAATGGATCCAGGTTCATCCTCAGCGTTCCAGAAAAGAGAACAGGATCCTGGACAGAAAACTAACTTTTGTTAGACAAGTGCTTTCGTTGTTTTAAGTACAGATATTAAAATAAGAGTTATTGCTCTGACGGGTCCGCTGTACGGAAGGTAGGCCACCTCCCAGTCTTATCCACTCTGAAAATATGTTACATATACATTATATGTGGTAAAACCTCAAGTTCCTACTCTAAAGATGTTTTATCCTAAACCCTCTTTTCTCACCCAGCATCAGCTCATAAGGTGGCAGGACAGGGCCACTTAAAGAAAAGGCACAACTTGTTTTTGTGAATCGATTTTGTGAATATAACTAAGCATCTTCCTCTGTGGAAAACCCATATTTATTTACTGTTTGCTAAGCTATTAGCTTCATTCATTGTGGTACACAGGTGGTGTACCTGAGGAATAATTGTCAGCTTCGATCGAAGGTCATGGAGGCCAATGTCTGCAATTTTCACACCATCAATTTTAATTTCCCCTTTTACAGCTTCCAGGATCCGAAAGAGACAGAGTGTCATGGAGGACTTCCCTGCTCCAGTTCTGCCAACAATTCCAATCTGCAAACAAATTACAGAATTAAGAACAAAGCATATAGTTAAAAAACAAACAAACCAACCAACCCCAACGAAAACCCCAAAGCAAACCCCAGGATTTCTCTGAGAGGTTTCATGCAAGATCTGAATCTAAGAAAGAATGTAACCATCCTTCCCTAGAAACTTGTGTCACACATTACAATACAGAGTTGTTGCCATTGCTGTAATTTGAATGATATTACGTATAAATATGTATATAGGCCCAGAGCCATCCTACATAACTTTGAGTGATTAGCTGACATACCCACGATAGCAGACCAATCACTCAACAACAAGAGATAAGGCTTTTTAGAGGGCAATTCAGACTTTATGGTAAGCACGCCTATCTCTGCTCCAGAAGGCAGTTCCCATCCTGTATGCTTAGCACAAGGATAATTATCTTCCCTTTTAATAACAGCCTCTTAACTGGAGGACTTTCACAGGCTAATTGTTCTGTTAACAGCACACACAACCCAGTATATGCAATTGAGGCATGAAGAAGGGAATCTCTCACAAAGACAATTCCCTGATTAAGGAAGCAAAGAATAACATTTCCTTCTCTGCCAAAAGTTGCACAGGGAAACCAGAGAAAGGGAAAAGCTGGAATCCCTTCTGCCCTCTACACGTAACCTCAGAAAAGCACCACTGCAATTGCTGCTGCCTCCTAAACTGTGTAGGGGAGCCTGACGCCAACTTGCAAAGCCCAGATGGCATCAAGCAACTGGTTCTACCGCTTCCGGTCTGGAGGACACCAGCACACGGACAGCGTGGCTGTATCTGTACTGCTCTCCTCAGTATTGCTGGCTCTAGAGGCACCAGCTCGAGTAGGTCTGCACCACTGAGGCAGGTACGCCTGTAGTCCCTGTCCTCTGCTCCATGGTTGTCACTGGAGACCCAGAACAAAGCCACAACTGACATTCGGCTGGTAACGCACCTTTTCTCCACCGTGCACTTGGAGGTTTAGATCTTGCAGCACTAGGTCCAGGCCCTTCCTGTACCTCACCGAGTAATTCACAAACTCCAGCTCGCCCTTGGATGGCCAGTCTTCTGGGGGACGCCTGTCTTCTATTATCCAGGGAGCCTGCAGAAAAAAGTAGTCAGAAATGCTGCATAGAGGTTTGAAAAAAAAAAAATTCAAACTTAAGATACAAACATTCACATTTGGGGATTACTAGAAACACATCTGATAAATCAAATCTCTGTTATTGAACAAATTCATAATAAGAGGAGGAAAATGCAGGTTCCTAAACATAACCCATTTTGGTTTTCTTTTGTGAAGTTTACAGAAAAAAATCTCAGCATATAGGGCCAAATCCTCAACTGTTATATATCAGCATTTTTTCATTAAAGTTAACAGAACAGTGCCTGTTCCATGCCAGCTCAAGCTCTGGCTTGTAACATGTATTGCACATCTTGTCTGCTTTTCTTTTGCTTCCAGATCAAACATTTGATCTCCAGAACTGTACTCTGCAGGTCTCCTTGGATCCCCCATTTCCTAATTCTTAGTCTCCTGTGTAACAGGACTAGCAAAAGCCAACGCGTCCACAGAGTAGCAGATTTTCCAGCATAGCTCTATCTGCCACATTGAAATGTATTTGGCAGCAAAGGAAGACAACTGTATGATTTTTCTGGATGAGATAGTGCAGTGTTCCTGGAGATGTTCTTCTCTCACGGGAGCCAAGGACTAAGCTGATTAAATAGAAATACTATCAAAGGCATGTGCACAGCCTGATAACTGAACTGCAGCTGTGCTCACCAGCAGGATCACAGCACCATCCATGCAGCTAGGACTATGCATCAAACATACTTCATACACATTGAGGGCAATATCATGGTGATGAAAATCATCTCTGTCATCCTACAGGCACTCACACTAGCAGAAAATGAGATGCTAAGCTCAGACTGCATGACAGCAGTAATATTTTGGAGCTCTGATGGCATAAATTACAGTTTAGGGTGTGACACTTGTTTAGGCTAGGTGGTAACATTCTCAGAGCACGAACTGCCTCTCACGTGTCTAAAGAAAGATCATGCAAACATGCATGTTAAAATTATGCCATGCATGTTGGTGACCAAGCTTGATGCTTGGTAGCTGACCTCTGTTTCAGTTTCTGAATACTCTTTTATTCTTTCAACAGCCACAATGTTGGTTTCAAGATCAGAAGTCATACGGACCATCCAGTTCAGAGACATGGTCACCTGGAGAAGATACAGAACAAAATATTGCCCACAGAGAAACCATAGATTAAATTAAAAAAAAAAAAAAAGGCAATTAAAGGGACTGCTGTAGTATGTTAAGACAAAGAATTCATATTGAAACTACAGTTGGAATAATTATCTTTGTATTGACACTGATAAGGATGCTGGGACAAGAAGTCTATGGATTGTGAGGTGCTCACGTAAGGGAGCATACGCTTCCCATGGTGATTTAATGATCCTTTCTATAAAGCAGGTTTGGAGTCACTCCCATAAGTCATGAGTCTCACTGGAACATTGCTAACACCAGTTCTGCACATTCACGGTCTCTAAAAAGCCACTGGCAAGCGTGAGGCTATTAAATCTGCTAAGTTGTCCAGCTCGGATGAGCACAGTTCATTTCGCATTATTTATGAATCCTATTGACTTGCCTGTGCATTGACAGATGTACATGCAGATGCGCTATGTAGCATGCATCATGCGGGACATGTTGAGCCCATGCTGCTCAAGCGACCCATTCTTGGTTTGTGTACCAAACACCTCCCAAGCTTCTTGCAGATTACAAGCACCCTGGCAACCTACTGGGGTGGGGCATTTTGGGAGCACTGGGGCTGGGGCTATGTCCTGAAGGCCTACTGTACGTGAGCAACGCTGACAATTTGTCAATATTCGGTGGACTTCTTTTATGGTTTCCAGATGTCTCATAATTCACTATTTGCTTATTGATTCTGGCTTTGACAAGCATCTGATACACCCATGCCATCTCTAAAACAGCAATGAGCAGACAGCTATAATACATACCTGTAATGCATACGATACTGAAAGTCCTACTAGGCCAGCATTCAGGCTGTTTTTACCAATCACAGCAAAGAGGGCAGCAAAAAGGACAACACAGTTCCCCACAAATTCAACCCGAATGCCCAGCCACCTGGTTAAAAAAGGCAGACATAAGCATAGTCGTAAATCGTTGCTTGCTTACGAGTTGGGTAAGTCCAAAGCTTACCTAGAGTGGAAACAAAAAGTTATATGCCTTTTTACCTGTTTGATACAATGCCAGGATAGTAACTCTTCTGATTTTCATCCACTTTTAGATCACTGATGTCTACGAAAGACTTCTCTCTTCTGTAGGCTCTGATGACACTGGCCCCTGTGATCGTTTCTGAGAAGTGTGAGTAGATGGGAGATCTGCTCACAGATTCCAGGCGCTTCAGCTGGCGGGAGGTAGCTACATAGAAGCGCTGCCATTTTTTGAGAGAAAACAGATGAGGCACATGAAATATTTTCTTCTTTCAATTAACAGTGAAGTAATTTTTAGATTAAGGGTTCAAAGGAGATTGTCACCAAGGCACTTCAACCCTTCAAAATAGTCTGTAGAGTTAAGAAGTATTTCAAGTGAAGTTACCTTTATTTCTTTTCAAAATAGAATATTAAGCAACTGCAATTTCTATAGACTGCAAACGGAATTAATCTATAGCCCTTTAAATTTAGTTAACACAGTCTAACACAATGCATTCATTTTGTAAGAACCTCAAGTTCATTTTCCAAGAAAACGAAATATGAGTCCGCATCTCCATTAACAGCTCCCAATTTGCATAAGTTTTTTTTGCTTGAAGTCAATAAAAGTGATGTTTTTTATTTTCAACATGTTAAGCCCTCTCCATCTTAAAAACTTGTCAATATGTCAAATATATGAATGCTTCAATATATTAAAGTGCACTACAGTTCTATCTCTAGTAGTAGGCTTATTTGTTATTACTTAAAGGCAAAAAAAATTACGCTTATTTATTTCATGACTACATCTCACAGGACATTTCTCTGAGGGAAGACAATACTTTGTTTAAATAAACAGGTAATTACTTCAGATATTTCAAATTTCCCTCAATTTTTTTTTTTTTTTAATTTTTTTCCTCTGAAAAGTAACATGAACAATGGCATAATGGTCATCGCAATGGTAATCATGAGTTTTTCCAGTTACCTGAACAAAGAAGTACAGGATTGCAAGGGGAACTATAACCACGGCGAAGAGCGGAGTACTCGCTATAATTACAATCATCGTTGATAAGGAGGTGAAGAACGTTCCAAGGAACATCAAGATGGTCGGTGGGATTACTTCATCGATCACATAGATGTCCTTTGAAAAGCGGTTGATGATGCGGCCAGTTGGAGTGGTGTCATAGAAGGACTGCGGGGTGTGAAATTTGTTCTCCAGGAGGCCAGCATGGAGCGTCCGGGCTGCGTTAATGCCTCCCATCGCCAGGGTGAAAGAGGAGATGAGTACTAACGTGCCTACCGAGAGAAGAGGAGATGTGTTAACCAGCAGCGTGATGTTCCTGACTTGCAGCTGTTTGACTTTGAGCAGTTTCCAACGTGCTCAAGGCTTTTTTTCCTTTATCATACCCCTGTCCACCCCTCCACTACCACGGCCATTAGTACCACAGCACTGTGGTCACTGCTGCCTAACGTACAGGAATAATTCCTATAGGATTTCACCACACTGTCCACAAGACTGATGCACAACGTCTTCCCTGTTTCCTGCAAGTCTCCATGAAGACCTACTACTGCAACTTTACCCCAACCCTGCTGTCTTTTCTGCACCCAGGTTTTCATGTTTTCACTCCAACATGCATCTCTCAAGCTTCCTTCACACCTACTGCCATCCAACTCCATCCAAAGGCTTTGTGGCAAAAGTAGAAGAGGGCTGGCCCAGTCCAGGTTTTCCAGCTCTGCTACTCTGCTTCCTTGCTTAGAAATAGGACTTTTGAGGTCATTTGGAGCCACCAGCAACTACTGCCATGGTTTTCCCACCTAGTTCCTCCTGCTAAACATTAAGACTTCATTATTTCATCTGGTCTTACCTTGCAAGAGGCCCAAGGCAGCATAGACTCCGATCCGCATGGTTGTGTTGTGCTGAGTGCCATTTATCACTGGCTCGTTGGTCCAGTCACTGAGCCACACGTTGGCCCCGATAGCAGCAGCATTTTGACAGCAATATAGGAAACATATAACTAAAGAAATGATAGGGCTCACAGCCTTCACGTATTGCCAGAACACTGTTAACTTTACCTGCAAAATCATACACCAGAGCTGGTTTGTACAACTTGATCATGAGTTCAGAGAGAAGAGGAGGGAAAAAAAGAACAAATCTCCAGCAGAAGAACTGCTAAGCTCAAAACTACCCGTTTCCCTGCCTTGCCCTGCTCCGGCGGAGTACAGCCTGACAAAGCACACGCAGCGCCATGCTTTGTACCTATGAGCATATAACGCTCTCGAAGACGGGGTGGAAGGAATCATTTAGACAGAACAGCCCCGCTTGCACGCAGCGGACAGCGCTGGCTTCTCGAATCCACCACTGCAGGTCATCAAGCACCCAGCTCTGCAGCTGGACTCACAAAGCAGCCACACAATTTAAAGACCAATAGCGCTGAAAGCTCTGCACAGCAAGGACAGGATTGATGGAGTACAGCGCTTCAGAGTATCAGGTGACTGGCAGGAGCAGGAAGGGATTTTTTTTTTCCCCCTCCCCTTAAGTATATAGCCTTTGCCAAGTGCAGAAACCCCTGCCAAAAGCCCAGATTTGAAGGATCAACGGCCACCAGATTAATGCCTAAAAACCACAGTCATACTTTAAATAATGCATTTAACAGAACTGAATTAAATGTAAAAATAAAAATGATTTTTTCAAGCTGGAAAAAATATAGAAGCGAGAGGGGAGAATCAAACCATACCGTTCCTGTTTCAGAGCTTTCTGCCTGAGTAAGTTTCTCATTATGATTTTTTCTTGGCAGAGGAGGCTCTGCTGGCTTCTTTTCACAGACTCTTCGTCTCGTTGACATTTTGTTGGGACATTCTCCTCCCTCCGAAGATATTACGCTAAGTTGCCTAGTCAAAACAATTGAGTTATTAGGAGAAAGAGGGCATCCTGTGGCAGCGCTAAGGCAAGACTGAGGTGCAGCAGATTGGATTCATTCCCAGCTCTTCTGCTCACTTCCCACGCCAATCGCACTCGGATACGGGTGCCGGCACCAGCCCCGGGGACGCAAAGTGATGCTCAGGGAGGCCACAAATACCATTTCTAACAAAGGCCAGGGCAGGGCCTGGGCACTTCGATGCTGAGTGTTGCAGGCCTCACAACAAGACAGACATTTCAAAACTGATCCCTGAGCTTCTTTGCTCTCCCACCACCCGTAGCTGGGGAAGGTCTGAAGGTATCGTTATGAAAACTTTTAAACGCTTCCAAGATTCTCCGCGGCAATGTACAGCGCAAAGGGTTATTCATCACCTAACTGGTAGCAGTCGTGCTGTGCGCGTGAATTAATACAGCAGTGTTACCCAAGAACCACAAAGGTGCTTTAAGAATTGGTTCACTTTGGATTAAGAGGAGGATTGCAGAAATAGGTGTTTTATCTTCTCTGCCTGCTGTTTTACATTTACTTTCAAGACAGCACTAAAACAATTTATTTTCAAGGGGAAACTAAAGCCCAGAATGAGAGGCGCAGTACGCGGTAACGGACCGCAATGCTGTTTGCAAATATCTTTCGGATATGTTTCACCCTAGACAAACTATAAACACGCAGGGCTTCCTGTTTACCTAAGGAACTGTTTGCGGACCTCGTTAGACACCGGTTCGTTATCTGCCAGATCAGTGTGGATGCTGACGGTGTCTTCAGCTAGAAGGACCTCCTCTTCCTCCACTACAGCAAGACAAGATCACAGCTCAGATTTTCTCCTGATTAAAGCACAAAGCACAGAAATAGACTGCCAAACGGAGCAAGAGAGTCATGCAGAACAATACCAACAGCAGGAAAAGCAGTACTGTTTAATCACAAGGAGGTAAGGCTCTCTCAGCCAAAGTCGCTGTCAGTCACGGGAGCTTATGGCCTAGTGATTACTATGATGCTTAACGCCCCCACCCCACTGCGGCTTTGGTGACATCTCCTCTACGCATCACTTTTCCTAACTAAATTGCAGAGATCTTGTGGGGCAAGTTGGCTGCTAAATGCATTTACGTTGTTTCTCTAGTGCATCAGAAATGCTAAACAGCATTACAGTTCTAAGTAAATTCACATATAGAGCACACCCTAGGCATGACACTGGGATGGGGGATCCATGTTAGGAACCACTGCAAGCCTCTGCTACTGCTTGAAGATGTCATGCACCTCGCTCCCTGCCTGACTCGTGGGGGCAAACAGCGCTGCAACTGAAGAGTGTGGGAACGCTTTCTCAAAAGCAAACATTCACCAAAATGATTTAATCTTCTAACGTTTTGTCATAGTCAGATCGAGCTTAAAAATAACCCAGATTAAAATGACATTTTAACTTTGCTATAGGAAAAAAAAGATATATAAACAAAGAAAAATACCAGACTGCGGGTAACCCGTTACAACAGCAGAACCTAGTTTGTTCCTTGCTACTCCATTTTCCTGCCAAGCTAGACCTTGCCAATTGTAAAAGAAATTCTCAAATCAAAAATATCTTCTAGCAATGGAATTGTTTTTTCCAGGATAAACCAAAGACTCATGATGTAAAATTCTGAAAGACATTTGTTTGGGAAAACATCTGTCAATAACATAGGACTGGCAATACACAATATTTTCGATGGCAGCACAGAAAGGGAAGGCAAAGGCTAGGCTGTCGTGCAAAAGTAGGTGACAATTTATACAGAGGGAACGTCCGTGGTCTGGTTGAGAGAGAAAGGCATGATTAAAGAAAAAGAAGTACTGTACTTGTTGGCTCATCTTCTTCAATGTCCTCGTCAAGCGCATAATTTCGCAGGAATTCTGAAAAGGCCTTGTTTTGTTTCAGAAGGTCTTGGTAAGATCCCATCTCAGAGACTTTGCCATCCACCAGGACAACTATATGGTCCACTTGAGGGAGGAAGCTGATGCCATGGGTCACCAGAATTCGAGTCTGGATAGACAAAAAGAATAGCCCACATCTCTCCCTCAGTTGTCACTGTGGGTACTAAATGCTGCCATGCACTAACATTACCTGACAGGCCAAATAATACCACATTTTTGGGATAAAGAGTGAACTATCACGTCAACATGAAACGCCAGAAGAACTACGCTGCTTTTGGTAGCCAAGCCAGATTGGAAATACCAACATGAACTTAGCTATGCTTCTTACTGCAGGCAGATACAATCACAGAGGGAAGTAAAACAACTGCTGAATCATCATCCCCTCTTCCTACGCGATGACTTTCTTTGTGGTCTCTCTCTTTTGAGCTCTGAGACAGTCTGAGAAGATCACCGCAGGAGTAGAAGGAGACGAAAAGAGCTTGTAATTTGCTTGCAGACTGCCAAAGACCTCTGCAAAATTAGTAAGTTGTTACAACTTCCTCAGTGTGCTGCCTCCAAGTAACAAGCAATACTAAGCTGACAACCTCTACAAATTCCGGCAAACGGCTTATTTTTGGAGATGATAAATAGCAGTTTTTTAAAAAGACAGAACAGGTTTCTGTCTCTGCATGTTCTAACTGGATCACATCACTTTGGATGTGAAGCTCACAGATATAGCAGCTCACCCCAGAGTCTGCTGCGGGGGAGAGGTGTCCACGTTGCCAGTTAAATGCAAATGCAGCAATGATTCAACACTCGAGCCTCGGTGGCAAAATAGCTTCCCTGTTCCCATTAGTGCTTTTGCATGTGTACATTTGTAGAAAGATGATCTAAATGCCAGCTTACTTTTCCTTTAAGTACCCCATCTGGCCCAATAACTTGGTCAAAGATGTGCTTTGCCACATGGGAGTCCACAGCAGAAAGAGGATCGTCTAATAGGTAAACGTCGGAGTTACTGAACACTGCACGAGCAAGGCTCACTCGCTGCCTCTGGCCTCCTGAGAGGTTGATGCCCTGAAGGGAAGGAGGGCAGAACAAAACATATCACACGATTCAGCACAAACAACAGCCAAACACACGGATGCTAAATGCAATATGAGCCCCTGGCTAGAATAACCCGGTCGGAGCTGGAGACAGGAACACGACACCTCTAAACGTTGTTTGTTCCCTGCCAAGCTTCCACTCGCCCAGCAATCTGGAGACGGAATAAGCCTCTTGCTCAATAAGCTCCTGAAGGGAGCCGTTAAAATGCAAAACACAAACAAGGGAAGGCTCTCAACGAGGATATAAAATGCAAATATTCAAAGCAGGTTTGCTGCACCTGGAACATCTTCCCCATCTCTCATCTTTCACACAAATCCACCTGCCCACCCAACTTCGTGCAACGCTTCTCAAATTCACTGGCCTCCAAAAAAAGTCTTTGTGGGTAATCACAGACGTAAACATTTCTCATTAAAACGAGGTGTTAAGGGATGATCATATTACTTTTTCCACACGAAGCACACCATATGTTCCCTCCCTTCGTAACCCTACAGGAAAAGGAAGGCCTCTAAGTTGTCCGGACAGATTAAGGCTTACAATCGGGAGGGAGGATGCTCTCATCTTCCAGAGCTAGATGTGCAATTATGCATCCCCGTACAAACACATGCTTAAAGTTAGGACCAGGTTCAAGTCCAGCAGTCTCCCACAAAACTGCCCCGTGTGTTTCCGTGTTGATTGTGACAGGCGTGCCATTTCAAAGACCAAACTGAATCAAGGCCCGATGCTAGAGCGTCTTCTCTTTAGCCAGACAGAACAGGAATCAACGAGCATGTCTGACTTTAAAATATTCTTATATTACCTTCTCTCCTATTTCAGTCTGATCTCCTCCTGGCAGCACTTCCAGGTCAGTTTTTAAAGCACAAGCCTCCAGGACATTTTGGTATTTTTGTTCATTAGGAGCGTGGCCAAACAAAATGTTGTCTTTCAGCGTGGCATTCTGGATCCAGGCTTGCTGAGGCACATAAGCAACAGAACCCTGGAAAAGGATGGAAAAGGAAACCTCCGACTTGTAATAAGCAGCAATTCACACTCACAACTAAGATTAAAAGCTGCAACACCTATATCGCTCCTGTTCCATATACAGGCACATTACACGTATGTATGTGCTAACTGCTGATGTATAGTTGATAGAATCAGGAAAGCCATTTCATGTGAAACATGATTAAACAGGTGTGGGCAAAACCCAAATAAACATGCAGACAAGCTGGCAAAGGAAGAAACAGCACTGCCTCTCCAGCCTCAGGTGCCTTACAAGCAACGCAAGCAGGGGAGGCACGTTCCCACAACGTTTTGAAGTGGCACCATAAACAAAACCGACCTTCACTGCCACTTCTCCTTCCAGCTTTTCCATTTCACCCAGGAGAGCAGACACCAGAGAAGACTTCCCACAGCCAACATGGCCAACAACAGCAACCAAAGAACCACTGGGGACCAACAGATTTATACTGTGGAGGAAACAAGCTGGAAATTAATAAAACATTAGTTTACTAAAAACATGATGGGTCTTTAAACCAGGGCTGACCTACACAGTGACAAATCAGCCTGACCTCAACCAGAACAGCCGCTGCAGAGGGATTCAGTAAGTACAGCTTGGTCACTGGTTTCCTCCTCCCTACTTTCTTCTGCACAATCAACCACAACCACAGCTGTAGGAGTACACGGAAACCCAGAGCAATGTTCCCAGCATTAATCTATTCTGTTAGTTGTTAAATCAGTAAGATCACTAGCAACCCTTGTAAAACCCTCTTCCGTGCCGTGTCAGCCCAGTCAGTGAGTCAAACGGGGTTAACAAACATTTTGGAAGCAAACAAGGTTCCAGAAGTTTTTGTCCTGGTTTTTAATTTTAAAACCCAGAGCAACCATACTGAAGAAGAGAGTGAATACATCCCATCTAAAAAACTTTCAAACCATCTTGCTAATATATGAGCAAAACATACACCTCCGTACTCTGGAAATGGTCCATTCACAGCCACAGGGATGAGCCAGCCACGAGACTCTTAAAGAGCAGACCACTGCTTGCATGTCTACGTGCTAAAATTACCAAGCTCAAGTCCAGGCATCTCTACATCTTAACCACCCAACAGATCAATCGGATTTGTCTGCAGCTTTAGTTCATCTATTTAAGAATTTTATGTTATGCCAGTCGCTGTGTAGTTGAGGATTTACAGCACTGTTCTGTAATGCCTAAATACTATGAGGCCTGAGGATTAGCTGGATGCTTTAAATATAGAAGAGATGCACACATGGGATGTGGAACTACAAGCTTTTCTAAAGCGTGTCTGCAGATATTACTAGATATCTTTCAAACAGCCCCCCCCAGGAGCCAGCAAACAGGTAGATGCTCTATTGCAATTGCACACAGAAATCTTACTCTTTCAAAGATGGCTTGAGCTCCTTTCCCCAGCTGAACATCCCATTTGTTACCGTGATGGCATAGCCTGTATGACAAAAATGCAACAGGAGAGAAGGTAGGAAAAGCATTACACAGAGCGGCAGGAGTCAGAGGCCGGGCAGCTAGAGGAGCGTTTACTCAGATGAGGCTACGGGTGTTTCACGTGCACTGCAGTTCCCTTTTCGCCTGCCATGGGAAGCATGGTCTTGTGACCACAGGGGGTCATAAGACAGGGATCTTTCACTGTGAAAATAACTGGTTGCAACTCGAACTATAAACAGTGAGCTTGCAGAAGGCCAGAAAAGCCGTCCTGCTTCACCGTGCCCAGCCGGGACCCTGACAGCTCAGGGCAGGTCTCAGAATCCCCAGGCAACAGTCCACATAATTGCACTTGAGAAACCACTTTCGAGTCAGTAGGCGACCACCAGCATGCCGCTGGCTCTGCTGTATCAGATTCGATCTGCCTCTGCACAGCTTTTTGCTTGCCACACCAACAAGTTACAGGTCCCCAGGCTTTCTTCAGCTCCTGGTGAAGCGGTGTGTAACAGTGATCGCACCACGGCCCTCCCTGCCTCCCTACTCCTCATCCGTTTATGGCATCACGTACAAGACAGCTTTTGAACCACGTTATCTCCAAAGTGCGTTATATGAGAAAACACAGTGAGTTTTTTAAGATTATCTGGTTTGCTTACCCATTTTGAGATACTGTGTTTCCAAAGCAACAATAAAAACAAAAATCAAAATTTTCTTTATAATTTGTCCCTAAGCATTTGTGCAGCATAAAAGGCATGAGAAGGTCTCCCTGACCCCAGCGAGAGTCAGTGGATGCACTGCAGCATCCAGTGCTGTTAGCATCCAGTACACTGCAAAGCAAACACAGACCAAATAACTCAGTGCAAAGCTCAAAAACACAACCAGAAACTTCTGTCATTTCCACGTGGTCTGAATGACAGACACGCACTTTTTTGGAAAGGAACTACCCTTTCCAATTTTGTTTTTTTTGAAGATTATTGTTGTCATTTCTTTTTTTGCTTATTCTTGTTTTTTAGTAACCCAACCAGTTCAAAATAAATGTAAGATATTCGTCACAGTAGCACAGTTTAGAAAAATACCAATCTCTTTACCTGGTGCAATCGCTTTTGTTTCCACACAATCTGGATCAAGCTCATCATGATTCAGGAACTGCTGAATTCTCTTTAGGGAAACGCTTGTCTAGAAAAAGAATGCGGCATTATTCTGTCATTCTCTTAATAGGGACTTAATGCTTTTACTACTGAAAAGGAAAGCAGGCAGGATGGCTTAAGCTTTCACCCCATGGGCTTCCTGAACAGTGACTCATTCTTTCCCTGCAATCAGTCTTATGCTGAAATTCAAGCTTCAGCTGGGAAATTTATTAGATCAAGGTAAGTTTGTCTAAGTGAAGCAAAATTCATACGTGTGAAATGCCACACAAACAGACCTTCTCAGAAGACGTCTGGCTCTCTAACACAGCGCAGCATTACCAAAAGGATGTCAGAGAGAAAACCAGCTAACGGGCAGATGCATGGGATCTCTGCGTTATACAAATCGGAGAGTCATGTGGGGTTCTTCTGTGTTCAAAGCAACTTATGCTTCGAGCCTTCCTTACCTGTGCAAGGTTGCTAATGACTTGTGGAAGCATGCTGAGGGGAAACCTTAAGATATTAAACAAGGAGAGGGAGACAAAAGCCTTTTCTGCGTCCAGGACGTTCTTCTCATCCACTGAGACATATACAGCAAACGTCGTCAATGCTACCTGAGAGCCAGAGAGCGGGTTTACTGCGAGATGTATGTAATACTTTGACATTTTAAAAGCAGTCTAGTCTGATGGGTATATTTAAAATAAAAGTATCAGCAATTGGGCAGTGTGGTATCAAGAACCCGGCAAATTCACTGCTCTTTCCGACCTTTTCAACACACTTTAAGAATGGATGAACAAGTTCACACAAAAAGAGGCACGCAGAGTAGCATAATTTTCTGATTACTAATGGCTACATGTAGTTGAACTAGGAGATTAACATGGTGAATTAGAGAACCCTGGTAAATAAAAATGAGAAGCAGTTATCTAGCTGGGGTTTGGCTGCGTTTCCAACTCCACCCAACCAAATGTCCCCATTGTAAACGGCAGGCTAAGCAAACAAAACTCACTGAACAGTAAGAAAGGGAGTAAAACCCAAGTTATTTGCTGATTCATTGTCTGACAGAGACACGATGGAGATACTCTCCTATGTAGTGCATTACTGGGGAGCAGGCACGGAACGTGCATTTAAGCTAAATTTAAAGGAAACAGGAAAGAAGCCAAATCTTGAGGGGGTTTGGAACATTTTTGCAGGATTTGGCCTTATATTTCAAGCAGAGTTGGCTGGGAATATTTTTGACCCAAACCAGAACTCTCCATGCAAAAGGCAGCACAGTTCAGTAAAGTGGGACATAGAAGGAAAGAGAAAATTGACGAAAAATCGTGTCAGAATTGTCAATGTGTCATTTGGGCTTTATTTTTGATATCAAAAAAATATATATTTTTTTAGATTGTAGAGCAATTTAACAACTCCCCTTTACCTGCTAGAGCAAACAAAGTGCTGCAATAAGAATGGTAGAAATGAGGACTTAAGACAGACACTGTTTTGACTGACTCAATCCAAATTTTTCAGAGAGGACTGCTATTCACAAATATCCCTGAGGTTTAAAATTCTAATCTCAATTTGTTATGGGAAATACTTTGAAGTAGTTGGAAATTCTCCTGGGACAGCTATACCCAGCTTCCACTGGCAGGCTTTATCAAGAAATACTTTGATACTGGTTAACAAAAGGGCTCTAGGGAATAGCAAACATTGCTTCACAGTGTATGAATATAATTTTTTTTTTTTCAAGTATTTACATTTTATTCCTACGTACATTTGGCAAGTAGAAAGTCTATTTAAGAACTTCACTCTTATCCTGCACAAATGTACTTGCAGAGCTTAGAAAGCAATGCAAAATCAATTTACCAGGAACGGCGCGCTGACCCACGCAAAGGTGGACAACGAATTGAGATAGGCAGATTTTTTCAGAACACGGAGCTCGTTCTTTCGTATCTCCAACACTTTGGCTGAAAACGATGGTTCCCAAGCATACAGCTTCAGTACCTTTATGCCACTCAGAATTTCATTCATTAACTTAATGCGAGAGTCTTTATGCCGCATTTGTTCCACCTACATTAGTAGTAAACACAGGAGACAGTGTGTCACACGGATGACGAGAACAGAGCTTTAAACAGGTTGTCTCACAGCTGTGATGGTCCTTGGGCTATTTCTAAAGAGGATATAAAAGGTAATTAAGGAAAGCTAGCCTATAATCAATAAGTTACCATGCAAGTCTGTACCTCCAAAGAAAACAGAAAACAAAGCAGATGGCTGAAGAGCAGTACAGAAAAGCTTTCTTACTCAGCTTCACTGTTAGGGCTTACATTTTCAAAACCACCTTTAAGAAAGATTCAGGCACTTCAGGAAAATACTACCCTACTTCCTCCTTTGATTTCTTCAGATTTTTTTCCCTGATTTGTATAGCTGTCTTTTATGGCATCCTTTGAAAGGTGTGGTTACTTTCAGTTTATTTTTCTTCTATACACTATAATACAGTGTCTCATTTAGTTACTTCAAAAATCAAATCCCTGTTCAGTGGTATAGAGAAAACGAAAAATTGCATTCACACACACAGGCACACCAAGTCGTGCAGCTGCATCCATCTTATAATGGGCAAGGGAGGAAAGCAATGTTAATATTAACATGCCAGCATCCAATTAATTTAATGGGAAGTCTTTATGTCACAACTCTTCAAGGCATGTAATAATACCATTCTGTTACTAAGGCAGGGCTCAAGTGTCGTCATTTTTACTTGCTTTCCAACTCTTATCCTTTTTATATCAGTGGCTTGATTATTTTAAACCTCCCAAACAGTCACTGATGCTTTGCATCAATATCCTGTTACACAGCTCAAGCCACTTATTAGATTTTTCTAGCACAAAGCCAGAGGGCACTATTATATTGGCTCTTCAGCCTTCCTTGACTAGGGATGACTAAGACTGAAAAAAAAAGAAAAAAAGGAGTTAAGGATCTTAAGATAATAATTCAGATTTAGGGCAGGTTGGTAGCAGCAAAAGTCAACGTATTCCATTGGTCATTAACGTAAGAAACAAGCTGCCAGGTTTAAGTTCCCATCTATGAAGACAGGCATTCGCAGCTCAAGGAACGGAACATCTGCACTTTTTCTAGACACTCCTGGAAGAAGCTACCAGGGAAAGGACTATGGAGACAAAGAAACTTCTTGCTAATCCCAGAAGCTGTTCCAGCGGTACGAGGAGCCACCGACTCTACACCACACCTTCCCCTTAGGAGTGTTCAATTCACTAGGGAACAACCGTTTGAGAGGATGCAGTTATTAAAGATGTTAGTGCAATCTTAATCACAATCATAAATACATCAGTGCATATTAAAAAAATTAATAAATATTTACAATATATATAAAAATATATATATAAATATCTCCCTCTCGCCAAGAAAACCATAGTGTCTTCATTTTTCATTACACAATCAGCAGTTCAGATAACACCACCTTACCAGCTGGCACCTTACCTGGAATGCCCTGGTTTTCATTGCTATTGCAGCGTTGCACGGGATAAGTAAAACCATCACAGCAACTCCTGCCAACACCGAAGGCCCTAAAGTCTTGAATGGAAGAGGAAAGAGAAGGTATGGGGGAAGGTGTGGGGGGAAGGTAAGTTGTTGTCTGAATGCTGCAGTTCTCCTGCAGTGAGCACTAAAACCACAGTAGGCTATAGAAACAGAAACTCACTGGCTCACTAATGAGTACTTTACATAGACAAGTACTTTACATAGACAAGCTGAACTTTCCCAAGTGAAGTATTGCAAGCCTACAGAACTGCTATACAATAAGCAGACAGAAAAATGTGATGGCATCCATTCCGAATTATTGTACTAGTATCGGTGATGGCAAAGAGCTTTGTGATTCAGCTGTTAAGTGATTCCCAGTGGGAGGGGAAAGTAAGCTTGAACTAATGCAGATATAGAGCTATTGAGCAGCTGCAGAAAGGGAACAAATTAGTTGCAGAGAGGGATTTTCCATTGACTTCTCTCTGACCCAAGGAACTGCAATTACGCAACTAACCCAGCACCCTCAATGTGGGTAAAAGCAAAAAAGACCAGCTAGCTACCAGAGTTCAGCTTATCAGTACAGCAGTAACTCATAAAGCGGCTGTAACTTAACGGCTCGAGTGTTATGCTTGGTGCTACCGAATGACACGGTAAAACAGATTAGCTGCATAGAAACATTTTAAAGATGAATGTCAGTGCTCACACTGAACCCGGAATAAACCGGAAACAACTTCACTGAAGCAAAGGAAAGGATATGTTTATTCCACGTGAGACTTGCTCCATTCTGACTTGCACAAAATTTCTTTACATGACATAATGTAATCTTTAAAAAAGGCTAATATTTCCTTTATCTAGGTTGTTATTTTTTACAATTTCTTTCAAGCTCTCATTTGTATCGACAACTGGGAATGCTGTCATGAGTCCAAGACTGTGCCTGTCGAAGTATGGTAGGGACAAAGGAGGCATAATGCTATTTTCTCCTTCAAATGTCATCTCTTGACTGCCAGCTGAACAAAATAATTAAGAAATTAATTGATCTTGTACAATGCTACAAGTTGTTTTACCATAAGACAGAACAGTAAGTTTCTTAGAAAGAAGTGGTGGGTCAAATAAACAAAAGAGTAACAAGCTTGCACATCACTTAGACAAACTCTGGGAAAATGTGATAATGTCTGTACCTGCCAGAGGAAGTACAAAGCTAGAAATATCTGGAGTGGTGCAGACCACAACATGTTCAGGAAGGTCACCAGATCCATGAAACGCTGGGCATCCACTGACATCAAGTTGACAATTTCTCCAACAGTAGACAAGCGTTTTGCTGAGTTCGTGATGACTAAGGACTTTAAAAAAAAAAAAAAAAGGCGTCTGGAGAGTCACAATCTTGACACATACGGAGAAACGCAAAGAAGAAATCCCCAAGTACTAGAAAAACAAGATACTCCAAGAACGTGCTTCACCCATGAGAGCAGAATAACTCACATCTCTAGCAATCCTTAATCCCCGAAGAACAAGACCTTATGAAATGGTTTGCTTCTGAGCACCTCTCCCTTGAGCAGGATGCAGCATTTGTTTCTGAAGAAAACCCACTTGTCTCTAGTCAATTCTTCTGTATTCACCTGGATCCCTTTATTTTGAATATTTAAATTAAACCAATATTTGCCTGTGATGCGTCCAGTGACCAACCAGTACACCCACATTAAGTCCCTGATTTCTAGAAAATTCTGTAAAGTATGAAGACTCACTAAAAATTCATCTTTTGTTTTTCAGGAGGCTAGTCTTCTCCAACACGCCTGCTCTTCTCTATCTAAGAGACTATCCAAGGACTAAGGCTGCTTGCTTGGCTGTAGGCTCGTGTTCTGGCCCATGAAATGCTTCCCGTCTTACCTTTCTGTATATCATTCCAATGATCCCAGTTCTCAGCCTCATTCCAGTGACAAAACAGTACTGGAAATGCTGGTGAAGTATGAGAGTCTGCAGCACAGCACAGGTAAACATCAAAGCCGCAATCAAAAATCCCCACCAGGCTGGGGCATCTTTGTTCTTAATGAAGTTGATTAATACACTGTTTTTCAGATTAGGAAAGGGAAAAAGAAACAAAAATAAAAAACCGTGCAGCAAGTTTAATGGGACATAACGCAGCTTCCCTCAGCCACGGCATTGTGCTACATCCTCTCTCTAACCACAAAAAGCAAACAGCTCTCCAGGATGCAAGCTGAGCTATGACTTTAGTCAAACAACATTGCAAAGATACATCTTAGGCTTTGCCAGCAAAAAAGTCTATTTGCAAATGAGCTCGCAGAAAATGAAATACGACGAGAAACTCTGTTTCCCCCGAGATGAGCCTTTAAACGCATGGCTCACCGTCTGGGCTAAGTCAGGGAGCCCCCCAGAGCAAGAGGTGAGTGATGGGACATACTAGGTGCGGTAAAGCAGGTGAAACCAGCTCCCTACCCAAATCCTCCTCAAGCTGCCCAAGGGCTTCTGTCTGGGGTGCCTTCCCACAAAGAAGCAGGACTAAAAGTCCTAAAAGGCACAAGAGTGTGGGGATCGTGCGGACTCTTTTATGGATCAGGCCGAACAACTGGTCCTCCTGGAGATGGCAGGTACCAAAGGTTTTCCTCATGTAGGGAGAATTTGAGGACATAGCACTTTTTGTCAAGATCTTGCTTTTATTTATAACCATTATCTTCTTTCAGATGGAGGTTTATTACAACCATGCCACACACATTCGCATCACTATGCACCACTGAGAATCCATCAACTCAGCTACAGCCTCCAAAATCTATCCCAGATGATAGCTGCACGGCCAAAGCACCACAAACATCACACTTCATTTGTATACCGAGTCACGCTACAGCTGCCATCACCCACACAGGTGGGCATCAGATGTACAGAGACAACCGAATCCAGCAAGCAGCGCTCTGCTCCGATTTCATAAATGATCCTTTACAACTTGGGAAAAATTGCTTTGGACTGCTACGAGGAGCAACAGGTAATTTGCAATCCAAAGCCGTCCGTTGGTGATGGGCGATTTATGAGTCTTTCATTTAAATGAAGCCTGCTCAATTTACAGCTTACTCCACAATAAAGAATGCCTGTCTTATGGCATTTCAGTGGAAGGCAGAGGGACTTACACATGCAGCATTGTGAGGGAAACTAGTTATACATTTAAAAAAAAAAAAAAAACCACTCCTTGCCAAAGCCAAGCCTCCATAGGGATCACACATAGAGACTACTCACACTGTAAACCAACCTTAACAGCTGAGGGTTGACGAAAGAAAGTAGGTCTTGTATCAGCTTGAAGAAGGAGCCAATTAAGAAGTACGGCCCAAAGGTCCTCAACAATGCTTTGAGAAAGGAGGGCTTTCTACTGTGCTTCTTGTCTCTAATTAGAACTTCTGCCTCCTCTGGGCCATTACCAACATGGTTCAGCATATGGTTAGATTTCTTCATATATGTCACATCTTCTTTCCTAGGAGAACAAACCAAGCAATCAGATACAACTGACAATGAGAATGTCATTGCCTTACGTGCAGGGCACCGCAATAACACCCAAAAGCCCACCTCTTCTCTTTGCTCTGCCATTGACCAACAGCAAGACTTTGGGACAAGATCTAGATGGACTCAGGGATAGGTCACTCTTATGTGATAAGTCTCGTTTCCCTTTATTCTTGTGGAGTGCTTCACTCAAAACGATGAAGTGCATTCCCATAGCCCAGAAAACAAATAGCCTGGGGATGAGTGCATGGCCCAAAGGGGAAGGAGATGAAGGCGTGACTGCTTTTAGCAGAGGACAGACTTGAACTTGAATCTCCAATTTCCTCAAAAGGAATCCTTTACCACTTGCTATTCACATACCACAGAAGACGCCCTCACCTAGTCCTTCTGAAACTGTATTCGTTGTTCAGTTAGTAGCTGTGCTACAGCTTCAGCCTCATCTGACAGCATAGCTGCTTTCAGAGCAGAAGTCTGAGTCCCTCAGGGGAAACAGGCACTGAAACACCTACCTTCCGGCTCCTGACTGGGCTAAGATAGGAGGTAGGCACAGCCCTCAAAAGCTAGCACTTTGCATTCCTGAGGACTTGAAAAACCATAACACCTCCAAAGCTGAGCCCTCTCTGACATGTGGGCAACAGCTGACCGAGGTTCTGCCAAGGTAGCAACTTTGGGCCCAGGTGCATAAATTTTACTCAGATTACATTTTAGGCAGCTAAATCCTGTCTGACGGCAGCCCTCCTTACTTTATGCTTCTGCTTCTCCATCTGCAAAAGCAGCCAATGAAAATGACATCTTCTGTAAAGCTCTTTGAGACTAACTGATGAGAAATGCACCCAGCAGGTAGGTGCTGCTCTCCAGGACTCTAGGTGGGTTTTCTAGAAGCACCTCTTGGGTTTAGGTGTCCGACTTCTGTCGCCTTTCAACAAAGAGAGGATGCTCTGAGAAATTATTTCCTCCATGAATCCCTCTAGAAGAGCAGCCCGGCAGCTTTTCTATCAGCAAGCACTGATTCACTATTGATTCTTTGGGGCTATGGGACCTATAGAATAATCCCCTGAACGTCAGCCAGGAAGGCAAAGTACAGAGAGGGGGCAGGGAGAAGGAAATTGGAGTCTGGGACGCATAAGCCTTATAAGAAAGGACAGATGGAAAAGAGACCCTAGGAACAGTGAAGACTTGCAAGTTATTTTTCCAGTGCCTTTTTGGAAGTCATACCAAGTAGGGTTGGATTTATGATTCTTCATAAAGACCGGGCAGACTCTTTGGAGCTGGCTGGCTGCGGAGGCCAATAATTCCGACAGCCTGTGGGTATTCAAAATGATCGCTGTGGCAAACTGTCCACAGGTAGAAACTTGTTCACATCCTTTCCCAGGAAGGCATGTGAAAATCTCAGTTTCTTTGCAGCAAAGATTGGGGGCAGGGGAAAAAACCTAAACCAGACAAAAATTGTTTCAGACCAGAACAAACAACGTTGCCTTTGTCCTTCTAGATCACACCCGGACAGTTTATGAGCAAAGCTTTATTTTCTGGCTAGTTTCACGCTCTTAAACTCGGTGAAGGATTTGAAGCAACAAGAAAACTTGCCCCTGGCTTTGTGCTATTAAAAACAGTTATTACTGAGCTAATAGCAGCACAATAGCGCTCTCGCAGCGAAACCCCAAAGGGAGAAAATACATTTCTAATGTTCACTATAGGTCGCTGGGTGAGGCCAGGACTCCGGCAGCGTGTGGGACTGGTCACACCTAGACCTCTCTCCCAGCAAAAAGCAAGCGCCCGTTTCCATTATTTATGGCAAGGCAGATAACACGCACACTGATTTTCCCAGGGGAAAACATACAGCGTCCTCATTGGTGACGACAAGGCCCCGCGCCTTTAATTCGTTTTCATTAGCAAAGGTCTAAAAATCAGAAGCTAGCTAAAAATAGGATGAAATAGATGCCAGCTCTCTCTCATCCAGCCAGCACCGTTCTGCCTTTCAGAGAAGCAGCAACGCGCTTCCATCAGTAAAGCGAGTGAGCACGGACTTCACCCACACGGTCAAAGAGAGCAGGCGCAAAGGAGAAAATATGATTTGCATGCTGTTTATTTATTTTTTTTTTTTTCAGTGCTCTGCCTTAAATCCACACTGCTCCTCCTGTAATTCCTGAGTAGCTAATGGATGCTTAGCGATTATTTAACAGTAATTCACAAGGATGCTTTAAGCGAGAGCTGTGAGGCAAAACACAAAAGTTCTGTACGTTTAGGAACGAGAACGTGTTATTCATTACAAAGAAACACGTCTGAAGCTTTAGCAAGGCCAGAATTGCAAATCCGTAGTTTTTAAATCAGTTAGCGCTGTGTGCACCGGGGACGTTTTCTGTGTCACTTTTAACGCATGCACAGCTTGACATAGGGTTTTTACGGTAAGGTCATTAAAGCTTGCTCAGAGCATATCAGATCAGCAGAGGGGAAAATAAAAATAAAAGGCACGTAGAGTGGCTCCCAAGCAACTACCACTGGTGTTTCTGACACAAAGTAATTGAAAGTACCTACTAATAATGGAAGAATAAGCAGAACCTCCCAGCATTAACTGCTTTTAGTTACATGAAACCCAGCAATTTGGAGTACAGCCATTTGCTTTGTTTTTGCTTCCCTCCCCCCTCCACCGAAGCATGAATACCGTCACCACAGAGTTTCACCTGAGCCTGATACAAGCCAGGATTCATGGTTAAATTCATGGCCAACAGGCCCCAGTCCGTATGAATGATTTCCAAATTGCAATGAACCCCATGACAAAACCCCAGGCTCCGTTTCTGGTTTCCTAGCGAAAGTTTTCCTGGACCCCAGACACTTCTGTACAACGGCTGTGCTCTTATTCTATAAATGCCAAGGGAGTACGATTTATGTCTGTGCACCAAAAGACCAGAACCCAGACAATGCATGTTATTCCACCTCACAAAAATAGAGACATTATGAAAACACAAAAAAAAAAAACCCACAAAGCAAAACCACAACACACACACAACTAGTGGACAAGCTGCTCGTGTTAGCGCTGGAAGACTTTCAAATTTTAGCTGCAAAGCGGAACTCGCTCCACATCACATTGAGCCTTGCCAAAACATTACAGCTCTCTCCTAGTACTATCAAATAATAGGGTCTTTCCAATTTGGCAAGGAAACGCACAGAGAAGAACAGAGGCAAGCCTCCACATGGAGAACAAATTTCTCCACAATGAAAGGAAATGGAAGCGCAGGCCTCCTCCTTATTGACATTTCTCACTTGAAACACACCATTAGTGCATCTATTTGTTTGGAAACGTTTTGGACACTCCCCAGTGGGAGGAGGAAATGTATTTGCACAATAGATACTTTTTAAGATTAGATTAGCACAGAACACGCAATCAAAAGGACATCCTCTCCAGCATGCTAACTATATGCTAATCCTGACCCTGATCCCAGATCCCATCGGAGACTACGGGAATTTTGCTGCTACCTTCCCAGGCAACAGGAGCAGGATCTCAGCTCTTAAACTTGGATGGGATCTTAATTTTTTTTTCCCCTCTCCACAAGCTGGTGGTAAGCTTCATATCCTTATTGCAAGGAAGTGAAGAGTTGCTCAACACTAAGAGCCTTACGGCTAATTAGTGTCAGGCCAAAACCTCATGATGGGGATGATCAGGAATTCCTTCTCGTTTCTTATGTGCCTACAAGTTGTGTTCTATCTAACATGCCCAGGAGGGATGCGATTACGGGGTTAGACGTTTACCAGCTCAGCGATGAAAGCTGTTCGTCTTCCCCAATCCAAGCAACTCATTCCCTTCTGCTTACACATCTTTAGCCCTTCTCCACGTGGCAAGCGGCACCAGCTGCCCATGCAGACAAGCCTTTAGCACCTAGCTGAAGAGCAGGTAGGTGGTACACAAGCCCCAGAGGGCTCCTGCTTGCCTATGCCTAGACATATTAAAGTAAGCAAATTTGACCGTTAATATTAAAGAAAAACAGACGGTTTAAAGAGGTAGATGCCATTTTTAGCTGGCTTATTTTCAGGGAAGAACAGCTCATTAGCATTGAAATGACTCAGAGATCAAGCACCATTTGCCGAATTGTTCACACACTTACTGTTTCCACTCTGCTTTTTCTCTGTCCCACTCCTTACTCAGTTGCTGTACAATAATTTTTGAAGTATCATCTTCATTCAGCGACCATAAATCTTTATCTTCAAGGGGCCTCTTGTAACCAAGAATTGCCATGCTGTACGTATGGAGAAAAATAGCACAACTCAGTTTGGCTAATAGCACTTATGGCACTACTAGTAACTCTGAGACTACTTAGCTAACAAAAGCAAGAAAATACATCTCTACACAAAGAGCGATAATTACACCTCCAGTTCTCTTTCCTCCTTATCTTCAATTTTAGAATTCAGGAAAGGACGCCATGTAGTTTAGATTCCATGCATTTTACTGAAAACATCACTTAAGAAAAAAGGACAATAAAAACAATTTCCAGAAGCGTTTGAATGAAACCGTGCTGTTGCATGAAAACAGTGAGTGTTTAGAAGTGAAAATAACTAAGCCTATCCGTTAGAGCTGAATGAAATACGAAAGTAAAGCTCAGAGAAGTTAAAGGAAAAATCAGATTTCTCTCCCCAGATAAATCAAAGCTATCATTCCTCAACTTGAAATGAAATTTTGGTAAGGGACACAAATTCCTAGTTGCCATTAATCTCTATGGAGAAACTGAACGTTTAAAACCCTTAGAGATTAGAAAGATCTCACTCTCTCACCGCAAAGAGCTTTATGGGGTTATCATCTTGGTAATAAAGTTACATGGATGAAAGAACAAAGACCTCAAAACCCTCAACAATTACGGAAAAAACTGGGTCTTAACATGACCTTTCACAGCTGTCCCACTTCTTTAGCATGGAGTGAAAGAAAACCCAATCTAATACACATACTGTACAACAGCAGTACAACAGCAGTGTCAGTTGTCACCACAAATGATCCAATTTACTTTCCCTCTTGCACAGCAAAGCTCTTCATAAAAAGCATTTACCCCAAAACCACAATATGCATCCTCAGGTGGGTGAAAGGTTGCCACTATTAATCGTGTTGTGCAACACTCTCTTACATCCCCTTTTAGATTAGATTCCAGCATGTGGTAAGCACAACCAGACTGCATATCCTGTTAGTCTTGCCAGAATTGTTGCCATTGATTTTCTGAGAGGTAGGCTGGATGGTATGAGCGCTCTGAAAGTGAACTGCAAAAATGCAACTGCTAAAAATGCTGACACCTCTGTGGGTGAAAGAGCATCCAACATCGACTACTTGCAGGAAAAAGACTCCGTGTCTTGGTAATCCTGCATAACACATACCACAAGTAGAGTTCAAGGTTGCCCAACAGCTTGAAAAGGGAAGCTCACCTTGTAAACCACCAAAAGGTCAATCTTGAGAGAAAGCCTGAGGTAAACTCTGGACATGGATTCTATGGTAAAGATAGAAAAAAAAAAAAAGTATTATTTAGAGCAAGACATTTACTATTACTTTAATAAGAACACAGTCTACTTTGATCAGTATCGGTATATTATTGAGAGTGATGTATGCCCCTATGTCCTAAGAGGATGTAAGACTTCTTTCCTTCATTTCCTATCTCATACGGAACTCCTTTTATTTGTTAACAATTGCTTCACATATTGCCTTTAAATCATACTTACATCAAGTGAAATGTCATTCTAAAATTTCTGAAATGTTCATTTAAGAAAAAAACTCAACTTCTCTCTCAACTCAGTTCAAACATAAATCCAATTATAGAGATCATCTGATGAACCGGAGAGGAAGTTTAAACTGTGGCACCACTGATATCTTCTATTATTGTTGTTTTTCCATACCTATTCTCAATACACATAGAACTGGTTTACTGAGTCAACCTGACAGACGTTAGCGAGCTCTAAGCGAATGTTAAGCAAGCAGAAGGCCACCTCCTCCAAAAATCACTCTTGGAATAATTAATATTACACTTTAAATTGCATTTATGAAAATTAAATTGCTGTGAAGCAGCAAGTAGGAGAGCTGCTTTCACTATGCAGCTTTCAGTCATTACCGATGGCAGGTATAACGGAAAAAAGCTCCAAATCCAAATATTAATCCCCCCACACACCCCTGTTTTTCTTAATGGAGTCACTGCCACAGCTGCAGTCTCAGTGACAATCCAAAGCTATTTTCGCTGGCGAGTATTCTCAGTGGAACTCTCAAAATGTGACAAGCCTGTGAAATGCAAATAAAGTAAAGAAAAAATACTTACAGGATCTGTATTAACAGGAGAAAAAAATGGAGGCTTTTCTTTAAAACATGAAAGGATCAACTCAATGATTATCAAAGCAAAGTAGATGTAAAACGTGGTAAACCTGAATCTGTCATTTACATGGCCCTGGGGATGGGGAGAGAAAAAAAAAACAAAACACACACACACACAGTAAATGGTTGCTTTTATGGTTGCTTTTAACCACACTTTTTTCTCTTTCCTCTACACCCTGACGTTTTCAGCTTCCTTTTGGTAACTCTCTTCTTCCTTTATGGTTCAATACTGCAAAGTCGCTGCTAGCAGGAATTACCTTACAAATGTAGGCACACGCTCAGTAAAGTGCCCAAGAACACGCTCATCTCCAAGCTTCTGATTAAATTCTGTTGACATCAAAGCGCTTATACATCTTTGCTGCACGCAGATACTCTCTGGAACCCGGGCTACATGACATCCTTTCAAACTACCTCCAGGGGTTCTTGCAAGATCATGTCTTTAGCACAGGAATTGTCAACTCAGATCAGAGAACAACCATTTGGTTTAGTATCTTTGTCACTGACAGCAGTCAGTGTGAAATGCTTCCTGAAGAAGCTGCAAGAAAACATCGTATTGTATAATTCTACAATCTCTGTTTTAGAGATTTCCTTTCCTGATCATACAGGTCTGTGGTTGACTTAAAACTTCTCGCTGTTAAGAGTATGTCCCTTATACGGTTCTTTTACACCCTAATGTATTTGTGAATGCTCTCATTGGTGACATGAAGTGTTTACTCCTTAAGACCAAGAGAAAGGGAGTATTTGGTCCTTGGAAGTTGGAAGAGCAAAAGAAGCATCGCCCACACCCATTCTAAGGCTCTGTGCCCGTAATTTTAAGTTGCTTTAGGAATCAATCGCTGATAGTCTAACATTTGTACTATTCATTGGTAATGTACTTTTAAATTGACATCAAGTAGCGTATGAGACGGTCTGACTATGAGTGCAGCTATTTTCTGAAGGAAACCGTCATTTAGGGTTTAATTCAGTCTCTGCTGGAACGTTTTTAAACAGCCTGGCATAGCGAGATCCATGGTTAAAGGATAATGCAGCTAACAGTTATAAAAAATAAAAATAAAAAAAAACACCAAACAGAATCAACACTGATTTCACTGATGCGAAGCTATCACCTTAATGTCTTTCAAATAACTGCTTTTCACTGCCAGCCTTTGATGAACTAATCAGTGAAGCAACCTGCTTTGCCCTACTTTGTAACAGCAAAGCTTCTTTCTGTGAAAAACAGAGCAACTTTCTTACTGTAGGAGATCCTGCTGTGTTCTCAAACAGGAATCATAACACCCAGGTTTCTTTCCTCTCCCTCTAACCCTTTTTTCCCCCCTCTATTTACAGCCACAGAAGGAGTCAAAATACTGTCCTCACCACATCAGGCACTGACTAAGGAGAGTCTGTGGAGTGGCACAACGTGGCCAAGGTGCCTGAGCTAGAAAAGGACATTAGGTACCAAATCACGTTGTCTCCCCATCTTTATTTAAGCATGGTAGGGGAAGGGAGCAGCCAAAGCCAGGGGGGCTGAAGAGTCCATTCTAACATACAGTCTTGCTACAACCCTTCAGATATCCATCAGGTTTTCAGTATAGCCTTGAGCTAAGCAAAATCTGTTTTTATACACTGCATGAGAAATCCTAGCTTCTTTCAAGTTAAGTAAGTCTGAGTCAAGGCAACGTAACCACACTTGACCTTCTCTCTGGCAAAAGACAGGCTCAGATCCAACTCCAAACTATGTGATTTATTCCCTTCAAAGACATGTTAATGCTACGTTTCCCGTTCTCCAAGCGCTAACAAGAATGGGAGGTTACCTGTGCTGTGGTAGTCATGATCTTGGACCGGAAAGGCCCCACGGCGCAGAGCACAGACAAAAACCAGAAGATAATGAGTACAGCAGAGGACTGCACTCCTCTCAGCCTCTCATACTGAATAAGTAACGTAGCTAAGAGCTGTGGAGAGTAAATACAGGAACACGTGAACACAATCCCACCTCACTGCCCCCCTTATTTGCGCTTTCCATTGGCAGCTGCTGCAGTCATCGTTGGTAACAGCAGCACTTTGATATAAGGCCCCATCATAACTTCACAAAAGTCAACGGCGAAACTTCCTCTATCTAAGGGAAGCAGGGAACAGCTTTACCAAGAGCCTCTGCACTGGAAACTGATTTTTAAACCAAACTTTGTGCACAGGACATATTAGCTACAAGCATTTTAAAGAACTTCAGGACATGATGTTTCACCTGTTCCAACAGACAGTCACAACTTGTCTAGAAAACAGCATAAAAAAAAAAATCTCTTACATAGAGAACTGAAAGCTCAATGGGCAAGCGTTAATGAATCATTTTTCACACAACAGCGCTGAGCCTGTTTGGCATCTTGGGCAAAGCAAATTTGTTTCTGCTTTACAGAGGAACAACCACTAGATGAGAGAGACAGTTTGACAAAGTCCAGCGCAACACCAAACAACGCACAAGCTGTGCTCTATCCTATCTCCCAGTTTAGGCAAAGTCATACCCAAATTCTCTCCACACCTGGGTCACAAGCCTGGAGAAACAGATAGCAGCAAGTACTAACCACTCAGTTAAAAGAGTGCAGGATAAGGCAATGAATACAAAAGAACTGTTCTACCCCTTTATCCATGTAAGTAAGAGCTATTCCTATTAGTCATAATAAACAGAAACAGCTACTAACCACTGTGATGCCAACAACCAGGGGAGTTACAAAGTAAACTGGTGGCACAGTTCTGCTTTGCAGGACCTCATGGAAAGAGTAGAAGAGATCTGCCCAGCTCACACCCCACAGCAGGACACCCAACACCTGAAAATAGAGTCAAACAGAAAGAGCATTTGGTAAACTCATCTCCAGGACAACCAGAGGGCTAGCAAAATGGTTATAATTCACAGATTTCCAGCAAGACAAAGTTGTAAAAAAACAACACTGCTGTATATTGATCAGCTGAACTTAGGCTAGCGGAACTATCCCACTGCACTCAAACCAACGGTCCAGTCTTGACTGTTTTGCAAGGGAGCTGCAAACAGAACCATGAGATAGACCAGTCTATTCACCATTTTTTACAACACTGTTTGGTTTTAATTGGAAACACAGACAGCATCTAGATTAAAGACAGACGGGCTCTGAAGCAGAAGCCTGGAATTTTACTCCAGGATAACCCCAGTTCTCTCATGGCCTGTAGCAAACGACTTGTTTGCTTTCTTCAGATGTATCCTTTTATAAGCAGAGCCCACCACCTCTTAGGGACAAGATGGGAATAAAACTTCACAGCTATTAGGTGGGTAGAATGGTTTGGAAAAAATACCTTCCTGTGCTTACTTTCACAATAAGATGAAAATCCCGCTAGAGCTAGCTTAAGGTCTGTGTTTTGCAAATTTAAGCGGTTCAAAGCTTAAGTAAGGGTGAAGCAGCATGGTGTTGGCTCAAAGGACTGAATTCCTTCCGCAGAACAATAAACTCCTCTCTCGACCCAGAAAGGTGTGCTCACAGATCAAGAAAAATTTACTGCAAGTTTCCTGACATCATGTGGTTTTCTTTGCATCACAAGTCATTTTCATGAATTCCCAAATACATGAGAATTCCAGCAGTTTTAAAATTCCTTTTAATGTTCCCAGTCCTTGTGGTTGCGGAAGAAAAACTTGAGAAGTATGACCTTCTGTTATCTTGGGAACAAGGAGACGGGTAAAAAGAATCAGAAAACTGTTACAATTAAAAATCAAAGCCTGACCATTTTTCAAGCCAGTCCTACGCTCTTTGAGGGGCAGAGGAGCAGCTGTATGGTCTTTTGCACATTGCCAATCTCAATTGCAAAACAGCGTCAATCTCACTCAAATAGCAGCATCACTGACATTGCACTGGCTTTCCACAAGCCTTAATCTCTCTCCACCAGCTGTTTCTTACTTTCCTTTCCTCCTCTTGCCTATCAAATCATAATGCAAACTCCACGTGTGTGCTTTGGGACAGGAAAGAGGAGGGAAAGTAACAGCTGGCAATACCTACATTTAACACAAGAAGGAGAGGAAAAATGATAGATGGAGCTTATTGGGCTTAATGAATCTCAGAGGGCAGTTCCTGATCTGTATGCTAAGTGTTTATTAAAAGCTACTTAACTAGCCCATTATCATATTTCATGTTAAATGAGAGTTTTCTAACATTGCTTGATTTAGCCATTAGCCTTCAAATTCCTAACGGCAGCTTTTGTTTCCAGAATTACAAACTAATTTTCCTCTGAGCTGCAGTTTCCACCATTACCTATACCTGTTGCCATAGAAAAACAGCACGTTCAAGAGGCCCATGGATTTCCTGAGACATGAGCTACCCTTTGATACCTCAAAAATCTGTATGTATTTTTGTTCTTTCCTATAAGCAAGTTCTCCCAGAAATTAGAGGGAAATTTGTTTAAGCCCTAGTGCAGCACTTGCTTTGCTAATGAACTAGCATCCACAAACTCAAAACTACACATTATTTACGGAGAATTGCAGAGAGGTCTTACCGTCTTGAACCTACTCAGCATGGAAAGTATGATGTATCCTCTTTTATAGTGCTTTAGATAGAGAAGATAAAAGGGTAAGGCAGTCCATAAATAAATGCTTGGGATCCATGCTAGGATGGTATTCTGGAAACACGGCGTCAGGTCTGGATTATCAGTGTGTATCGAAATATTAGGATCCTGGAAAAGAGATGAGACATGTATTTATTACTAGAGAGGCAGCAGCTCTGCCAATTGGAACATCTGCTTGAAGAAGTTACAACCGGATTCTGCTGGCGTTAGCAAATATCACCTGGCCTTAGCAAAGGCTTCCTGAAAATACCTATCCTGACCACTTGTGGCTAACCTGCTAAAGTAAAAGGTCTAAGAATAGTTAAAAATCCTTGGCAAAACCTAAAACAGACTTCTGCCCTCCCATATCTCAGAACCGGACCTACATATTGTAGCAGACGAACCCATTCTGTTTCTGAGTCTCTGCTAGGGCTGAGTTGCAGCTAATGATACTCAGCATTTCTCAGGCATTCCCAGCCTGGAGAACAACTGCTAAACAAAGCTCTTGAGGCAAAATCCTAGACTTGAGCACTCCTCCAGCAACCATGTCAAACACTGGAGAAAACAATCAGATTTAGATCAACCATCTGTTGACCTGGAAAAAAACACTGCATTCATGACTAAGATCTTGACCTTCGTACTCACTTGCCTCCAACTGTAATTACTTCCTTATTCTTAACAAAGGTAAAAGGAATGTATTTTACACACACGGAGGAATACGGGTCTTCTTGCAAACGTTCCAAGCAATGCTTTCCATCTGCGACCCTGGATACCAGGGCTCTGATGTGCAACTTGTACCTAAGGACTCGACTGCACCATGTGCAAACATATGGTTACACAAGTTCAGACTAAAATAGAAATTTCATCATAGTTAAAGGGACCTTCTTTTATCAAACCTACTGGAAATTCGCAACTTACATGTCGCCATCTGATGTGTCATCTCAAATGTGGCAGATAAGTACTGACTGACAGGAAACGTAAAATTATCTCGTATAACTATTAGCAAACATGATAAACCTAAGGCATGAGCTGAACCACAGATACCTTATCTCTGTGCTAGAATCATTTACTTGTATTTAATTATTTTTGGATACGAGCTCTCAATAGAAGTATGTTTCAGTTACGCCAAATCACTTCTCCCCATCTAAACGTGAAATTCTTCAGAAGTATTTCTAGCCACATTTTTACCAATGCAAAAAAGCCTGGATGCTGCATGCGACAGCTGATTTTAAGAGAACCAAAGAGCCACAGTCCACTTATAGTCTTTTGATCTCAGCCATGACCTGTCAGAAAGGACAAACTTCACAAGACTAGCCCAGGTAACACACAACAGTGCTCTGAAGCATAATGAAACTACAAGACTTGGCAGGTTGCGATCTGGTTTGGCTGAACTGTGACAATTCTGTCACCCGGCTCTGGCACAAATGGCATGCAGCTGGCAGAGACCTTTGGAAGTGGTGAGGGGTGGTACCAACCCGTTAGCTGCATCTGTGCTGCATCCTTTAATGCCACAGAGTTCACACCTGGCCAGCTGAGAAATGGATCCCTCCACTTAAGGTAGGACATTAGCAACCAGTGTGGGATAAAGGGATAAAGACTTTCCCATTTATTCAAATTCATTTGTCCACACCTAGGGGCAACTTCAGTCATAAACCCACAGCATAGAGGCAAATACACTGCAAGTTGAATACAAGCTCAAGATTAAACCAACCTCATTTTCAAACTATTTCTGTGTTTTCTTCCAATGAGGATATCTCTGGCAGCTGAAAGGAGGATAACATTTAAAGAGCACCCACTTTCAGCTGGTCATCAAAACATTTCAGCCTCTCCAACTTGATCAGCTTCCTCAGCAACCACCCTGCCAGGGGCAGGAGATGCTCTCTAGACCTTTGGAGCCGTGGAGTCCCTTAGCTCTGAAGCAGGAACTTATCTACTGCCATTTATTCACCAAAATGCTCATTTCCTCTTTACATTACATGTGCTTTAGCAATGCCTTGAGCCTGTTTACACCCCTGCTCTGTTGCTTGCTGGAGAAAACACTAGCAAAAGGAAAGGTGAGGAAGAATAGCGAAAACCAGGCACAAAATAAAACCAGCATTCTGTTTAACTTAGGGGAGAACTTATGGAAAAAAGCACTCCTATAACTGTAAGACCAAAATGTCCAGAAATTGCTTTCTGTCTGACAGCCACCTAGAAACTGCCCCAGACGGCCATTCACTTCAGACCGAACACAAGCTGACTATTGTATCCAAGACACAGACTGTACGGCTGCCAAGCCATTTAAAGGTTTTCATTAACTCTTATTTAAACAAGGCAAAGGACTTGCATTTCTGAACTTATAAATACAGCTGGCCAGAAAACAAAAATTCTGTCCCAAGAAGCACAAAAAGATTTTGAAATGTGGTTGAATTATCCCTGAGAATGAAAGTGGAACGTTTCCAAAATCATGTAAAAGTACAAGAATCAGCACCCACTCGACAACTAACAACAGCCTACTACTTCAGCCTTTGCATGGCATATGGGAAACAGGGTCCAGACTGAAGCAGACACTTGCACTCAGATCTCACATCTAAGGCAACAGACCCAACTATGGGCTATTTTGGTAATGTCTTCCCAGGTCCATTTCCATCCTGGACCAGATAAACAAGCTTTCCTGGAACAGATCCGTTTCTGCAAAAAGGTCCCTTTTCAATGAAGCAGTGTTTTCTGGGAGCAGGCTCTTTCCGTTCTCAAACACGAAGAGAGGGGTTCCTGTTGGAAGACAAAGTGCCTAAAGCGTTTAGCAATGTAATTCCATACAAATTACTGCTCCTCCCAAAACCTCTCTACGACACCACATCAAACAGTGCTGCCGTGCCATTCACCATGTATCTGGGACTATACTACACAATTTGCCTCTGCGAACCTGAAGATTGTTTCTTATCACTTTTTTTTTTTTTTTTTAAACCAAACTGGATTAATTTTCAGGGATTTGGCAGTTCCATTTCATGGCTGTACTACAGCTCACCACATTAACAACATACATTCCAACACTCTAAATAACTCATTTTGAGTCAGGATATGTCACTAAGTCTCAATACAATCCATCCGGACCAAGGCAACATTGTTAAGTGCTACTAAATCGTCTTTAATTCAGTACGAAAGTGATGAAACTCCATCCCTGAGAAGACATGCAAGAAGCGATGGTCAGGGGTGACCCAGCTCTTTGATTCATGTCTTTAAAGCTCCTGCTTGATCTGGCTTTACCTTCCCATGCACCAGATTTGGTCCTGCTAGGCAGAACAAGTTTAAATGCTTCCTGCATCCCATTCTGACCAAGGAGGAACACATATGTACCTCGGGCGGTCTGGCTTCGAGGATTTTCTTTGGGCTCGCTACGTCACTGTCAGCTTGCTTCCCCATAAGAAACAAAGTCTACAGGACAGTAATTAATAGCTGCCTTTTGCAGAGGTGCTCCAAGAGCCCATTAGAAAGTCCTGTGCCCTCTCCCCAGTTCACACATCTGCTGTGCTCCATGGCACCTCCTAACTGCTAGGAGAACTTGGGGCAATCATCCGTGAGCAGCGGCATCTCTTTGGGTGCAGTGCCACAGGCAACAGGGGGGGCTGCTGCCGCCAAGATGCAGCATCGCCAGAAAACCAACTCGCTGTACTGAACACCCCGGCCACAGGATTTACTCAGTCCCAGAATAGTACCTAAATGCAGTGAAAACCTCCATGGGAAAAGAGACTAAAAGTGTATAGTTACAGCTTCATAGCAGAGCAGGGATCCCCTGGAGGCTGCAGCTTACGGATTAGCGGGGTTTTCTGCCGACTCGTTCAGCGCATCATTAAGAAAGCCCCTTGCAGCAGCTTTGAATCATCCCATCTTTCTAGTCACAGTGTTTGGATAAACACAACCCTCCTAGCAAGGACCCACTGCGTGCAGTAGGACTTACACTTAGGTGACCAGATTTAAATGTGTGAGCTTGGTTTAAGGGAAGGTATTCAACATGGGAAGCTCTGAGCCACATTAAACCAGCTCTAATACGTAGTACTTTCTGTCACACTTTCCCCTCTGGAAAAGAAAATTGCTACTGAAAAGGCCATCCTTAAAAGTGATGATGCCCATAAAGGAAACAAGAGGACAACAGAATGTACCTCGAGTTTCTTGCACATCATCCCTTACAGCTTTCAAAGAAACAGGAACAAACAGAAAGCTCAAAGCTAGGCTGAAGAAGAAGAGCAGGGAAATTCCTGTCTATCCTTTCCCATACTCCCAGGTAATATCAAGAGAGCCTGCGGGGAAAGACCAGCTGTAGTCCTGGTTTCAGTTTTAAGTCTTAACCAAACCCCCATCCACTCCAGAAGTTTAAAATAAAAGTGCCTCACACTGGTCTCACTTGGCATACAGCCGATGCTGCAATACTGCTCCCTCGTACGGGCTACGAAGGGGGCTTCCAAACCCCGGGGAGGGCTAATAATATCTTCTGTAATCTTGGGTAATGTCTTCATCAAATAGTTGCATTAATACATGTTTCCCTCCAAGAATACTGTAGTGTAAGAAGAACTATGAAAGTCACAGGAAATACAAATTCATTCATCTGCTAGGAATGTGAAAGCCACTGTGCAAGTGCCGTTCACACAATACCCAAGGTTAATATATGCCATATCATTGATTCTCTGTCCGTTATCACTAGTTGACAGGTTATTAAAGATTAAAAGAAATTGGAAAGCAGACAGAGGAGGTGCACAGGAAGAAGAAAAGCCGGGGAGGTGAATAAATGAGAGTAATAACTCCTCCCTGCAGTAAATACACAGGAAAACGGTATCTCTTGCAGAAGAATTTGACAGGGAGAATTTAAGTGCAGAGGGGAAGTCTTCCTGCCCTTCTTCTCTTCCTGGAGATGGCAGATATCCTGCCAATAAATTGCACTGCACAGCCTGGCAACAAAACGATGATGGTTTTCTCTCAGTTCTTTCGCAGGACCTCCTCCTGAGCAGAAGGGTTGCCCTGCAGCGGTAGCTCTGATTTGCAACACCAAAAATTACCAGGGATCAGTCTCAGCTACAGCACAGGCTTCATCTCTGCCTCTCCACATCTCACCTGCCACCTCTAGCCGTTGTCCGTCTCCTCTGCTTAGTCCCTGC